TAAGAAAGGGATGCCCTTGGATCTGTCCCAGTGAATTAAACCTTTTAGCTACAGGACATACCAAATGGCGAATCAAATCTTTAACTTCATCAGACAGATCAAGACGAGATGGGAATCGATATGACTCCGGGTAATTCACTATCTTCAAACAGGTCTGAACGGCATCATCACTTAAAAATGGGGGAAACCCACAGACCATTTCAAAAAGAATACACCCGACACTCCAGTAATCACACTCTTTGCCATACCCGACACGTTCAAAGACTTCCGGTGCAGTATAATCAGGGGTACCAACTACTGAATAGACCAAATCACGAGATCGGTGTTTATAGTCGTGCATTTGTTTAGTAGTTGTTGCTCCCAAGTCGACTTCAATTTGTTCTTTTCTATTTGTTACCCATTTCTATTTGTTTGATGAGAACAACTCTTTAGTGATATTACAGAGTACAAAACAAACTGAGCCTTTTCGATCAAATTTCGAAGAGTGACGGAAGTGTCGATACGATGGAATCCCGTACACAATCCAAAGTCAGTCAATTTAATATGTCCATCATTACCTATCAGAATGTTATCAGGTTTAATATCTCGATGGATATAACTTAACTTATGAATTGAGTCTAAAGCAACAAATAATTCGGCGATATAGAACCTTGCCATATCTTCTGGGAAGATGTCTTCTTTAATAAGTAAGGACATCATATCTCCTCCACCTAAATACTCCATAACTATGTACAAATACTCTTCATCTTGAAATGAATAATACATCTTCACAACCCATTCATTCGTAAAGTGCGTTTGCGCTAAGATGTCTCGTTCTGCGCGAACATGTTCAACTTGCTTACGATCTAACATGTCTTTCTTACGCATCATTTTCATCGCATACACTTCGTTCGACCCTTTGCGACAGACTAACCGGACTTCACCAAACCCTCCACGTCCTATAATTTTGATCGTCTCAAAATCTTTCACTGACAACTTTGTCCGCATAAAGCGCATATACTCAGACTCCTTCTCGTTGAGTTGTTGTCGCAGAATGTCTTTGTCCTTGTCGCCTAAAGTCGAATTCTTCAGATAGTTCTCCAAAATCTCTTTACGATTTTGGCGCTCCTGGAGGTACTGTACTTGCTGTTCGCGTTGAGATACTATTCTCATCTTCGCTTCAAGACTGGCGTCGGAACTTTTCTTTGATGGAGAAGTTGCCATTACTTTAGAATTTTTGAGATATTAATGGTTTTATTTTGGGTTTTCTTTGGCATTTTTGAGTTCTTTAGTAAAGACAGTTTCCTTCAGTTCAGCGTTTGTGTCATTGTGGTTTTTCCGTCATCAAATAGTGTTAAGTATAAATTGGTTATAAGTTTAGTTCTCGTTTCATTTAAAAAATGGATTTTCGTGGTTGGCATAAGAACAAAATGCTGCTTTACAACTCAAAAATAATAAAAAACTATTTTATAATAATAGTAATTTTTTTTAATTATAAAAAAATCTTACATATAGTAATTGTAATATACTAAGAATGTTATGTAAGATTTTATTTGAAGTAAAACTTTTTCCAACAATTGCTTTACTATATTTGGAAACAAATATTTAATAAATTTCAAATAATTTATTAATAGTTTTAATGAAAGAGAAAGAATAATAATAAATTTAATATTAACAACTAATAACTCAAACACTCATTTGTCAATAATTAAAAGTACTTATTTTTATATTACTGAAATTTGAATTAATGAATTCTAGAACATAAATAATAACATATTAATAAAATAAAATAGTAAAATTTATACAAAATAAACAATACTGTCTAATTTACAAAATACAAGACGAACCAAAAAAAGCAATGCCAAAAGCAAAAGCCCCAACAACAAAGAAAGCCGCACCCGCAAAGGGTGGAAAGCCAGCAGACGAAAAGGTGAAGGGTGCATCAAAGATCAAATGTCGACATATTTTATGTGAAAAACAATCGAAGATACTTGAGGCTCTTGCCAAATTGAATGAAGGAAAGGCGTTCAACCAAGTTGCGATGGAGTATTCAGAGGACAAAGCAAAAGATGGTTTCTTTCTCTTGATATCAATTTAATTATAAAGATATTAATAACAACTATAAAAATACTAACAGACAGGAGGAAACCTTGGGTGGGTTGTGAGAGGACAAATGACGGGAGATTTCCAAGAGATTGCATTTAATGCACCAGTGGGAAAGTATACACAACCTTTTAAAACTCAACATGGGTATCATATCGTTTTGGTTGAAGATAGAAAACAGTGAAGAAAATACGTTTTAATCTGACGGTTTAACGTCATTTGGAGTTTAATGGTTTTCTTTCTATTAGTAATTATAATAATAGTAGTATAATATCATTTCTATTAATAATTATTAATTATAATAATTTATATTATTAATTTATATTACCTGAGTCAGATTATAATAATAATATAATAATATTTCTAATCTTTTTAAATATTCATCGACAAATAAGATTTGTCGATTATATAATAAGAAATAATAGAAAAAAGAACTAGTGAGTAAATAAAAAAAACATGACTTGCAAGCTTGACGGATACGCGATGATGATTGTCTCAAAATATTTTGATGATATCCAAACGTACATTAATATCACACAAGTGTGTATTAAGTTTAAAGATACTATGGAAAAATTCCATTACAACCCAATTCCACTCACAAAGAAGACACGAAAATACTTTCCTAATATCGAGACATTACTTCTCTATTCTCCACTTGATGAAACATTTCATGAGGAAACCTTTTTCAAAAGAAAGTATGTGTTCTGTGTCGATTGTGACTTTTATCAGAAGAACCACAATCAAAACACGGAGTTTAAGGATGTGTGCTATACTAAGCAAAATAGAATAAGTCGCCTGAGTTTTAATGGAACAACACGAGTTGTGAATTATTGTTTCAGTGATATGGATGATGTGTCTGCAATTGTTTTACCACCGACAGTGCAGTATGTTGGTGCAAATTGTTTTTGTCTTTGTACGCTTTCTCAAATAACAATACCCGACTCAGTCACCTTTATTGGCTATGGCTGTTTCTCGCAATGCAGTCGTCTGTCATCAATTGTAATACCTTCAAGAGTCTCTGAACTGAGTGGGTGCTTTATAAGTTGTGAATATTTAACACATGTCCAGCTTCCGAACAGTATTACTAAGTTGGGTAATTACTGTTTTTATGGGTGTGGACGATTAATAAATTTGGTGATACCAAAAAGTGTTATTGAGTATGGTATTAACTGTTTTAAGAAATGTGGATATACCCCAAACTAATAATTAACTCAACAACTCATTACCTTTATTTGGAATCCAACAGTCTATATATACCACACCAATCACTTAGCCTTTCTTAAGAACGTGTCTAAAATATTTAACACCTCTCGCATAGTCGGGCGCTCCTTTGGTTCTTGTCTCCAACACATCTTGACGAGGTCGAAAATGTCTTCATCGACATTTTGAGGTCTCTCGAGCCGATTTCCTTTTGAAACAAAGTCAGCGACTTGCCACATATAGTTGAACTCGGGCTTTTCATATGCTTGGCGCCACTTCATACACTCTAAAAGTGACAGACCAAAGGCAAAGACATCTGCCTCGATCTTATAAGTGTTAGACACTATCATTTCAGGAGCCATGTATATCTATGTGTTATTATTATAACAATATAGTAAATTACTATAAAAAAATAAAACAAACGGGAGAGCCAACACCTTTTGTGAACGTCACTCCAGTTATCAGCATATTGATATTTCTTGACATTCCAAAGTCAGCGAGCTTTGCATTAACATCAGTGATTTCGTGGAGTTCAAACATTAAAATATTGTCTGGTTTCACGTCTCTGTGCATGATCCCATTATTGTGCAAATAAAACAAAGCTTTTGCGATGTCATCCATAACTTTGTATTTGAATGTGTTAGGCGGCTGGCACTCATTTGTCGACTCGAATCTATCGCGAAGGGAACCATAGGGGGCCAATTCAGTCACGATTGCTATGAGTTGTTTTGAACGGATACTCCCATAAAAGTGAATGATCTGGTCACATCGCATTTTGTCTAACATGGCAACTTCCTTCTTAAATTCAGCCAATGATATTTTGTCGATATTAAACTGCTTTAAGACCTTCACAGCAACTTCATTGCCTCGAAATGTACCTTTGAATACTCGTCCAAAATTTCCTTCTCCTACTTCGCTGGCCATAGTAACTTCATTAGAGTCCAATGAAGTCGTTAATATTGTCTCAACATGTATTGGAATTGTCACATAGTGATTTTTAGTTGTTTGGAAGTCGTTAAAGAGGATGGAGATATGGTCGACCACTTTACACGAACAATTGACACTAATAAATGCAGTGAATGTGCAGCCTTGATTGTTTTTAAGAATTACAACTTCTGGTTGGACTTTGACCGTGTACTTGTATGGTTTTTTAATGCCTTTTAATTGAACCAACGTCTTATTTTTGCTTTTGTTGCCGATTATGAATTGGCATGCAATGGTTTCTTTGACTGGAAGTAAGTTCTCTTCAGAGCCAAATGTGAGTTCTTTAACGTCGGTGTATATTTTGGAACACAATACATGAGTCAAACTCGTGTTGTCTTTAATGGAGTATATTTGACTCTCCATTTGTAGCGTTGCAACACTTTTTTTATACACTGTGACAACAATACAAATGAGTGTTAACACAATCATGACTATCACTAAGACACCAAAAATGATGACTAAAACAATAACCCACCACACTGGACTTGAGACACAAAATAAGCCACTGACGTCTGGATTGTGCCAAAAATCACATGAAGTACATCTTGAATCAATTGCACTCGTACAGTGATTTATTGTTCGATACGAAACGCATTCCATTTTCTTCATCACAAAATCGTCTTTACATTTCAGACAAATGTTTGTGTCAGTACAAGAATAACACCCAGAAGCACATACATAGCAGACCCTATTCTTTAAGTAATATCCAGTCGCACACTCTAAACACCCATGGGAGATTGAAATATTACCAACACACCCTTTAACTTCACTTTGAAGAAGACACACCCCGTTGACTGACATAAACATGTCACTTCTACACACCAAACAAGAGTTGGCGCGATTGCACGTGGCACAAGATTCCGAGCAACTCAAACAAGTGGTGTTATCCAAGTAATATCTATCGTGGCATCGTACACAAACACCATTTATAGTGTACGCTGAACACGTGTTTCGCATTTCGTCCGCAATGATACACTTCGACTCACTCAAAAACGTGTTCTCATAACACGACAGGCAGAAACTTCCACGCGTACTACACGTCTTACAATTTGCGTCACAGCGAACACACACATACTTCTCGTTTAAGTAAAATCCATCTTTACACCTCACACACCCAATATCTTTGGATTCAACACAATTGGAGATGAATGGATAACACCCATCATTCGAAAGACAATAAGTCGAGTCACACTTTTTACAAGAAGAGCCACTTTGAATATCACAATTCGTCTTTTTGATGATACACCGATTGGAGGTGTCAAGTCCATAACCTTGTTCACATAAGGTACACGTTTCAAGCGCATCGAATAACAAACAATGAAGAGGTTCACATGTCATACTTGAAGTGGTCGAATATCCATTTGCACATTCCATACACCCTAGTGTTGAACATATCAAACAATGTGACACAATAACATCACATGGAGAACACACGTTCCCATTATTAAAATAGCCATCTTCACATAAGATGATAGATGACACTTTTACTGTGACAGCATTGGTAGCCAATACACATACCCCATCAACTAAAATATACTTATCTTGTCCTGAACAACACTGGACACACTTGTTTGATCGTATAACTAAACAATTCAAAATCGAAGGTGTTGACTCACATACACCGTCATTGTAAGAGTATCCCGTTTTACATTTACGACATATGTTACCAGATGCAATGAGACACCCACTCGGCATTGCAATACAACTTGTGTTTTGGAGTATATATTGGTTTTCACATAACAAACACTTGTTTTGATTACAAATATTACAATTGTCAAATGAACAGGATAGGCATTTGTGCTGTTCAATGTCGAAGTAATAGTTTTGCAAACATTCATTGACAACTGAATTTAAACACGAAACTATATTATCAGATACAACCATAATCTCACATAATCGACCTTCAAAAAATACACCAATTTTTGATAATACAACAACCCGAGTAGAGACGGTGGAAGAGAAATTGATTGGGTGTATTTGATCAACAAAAGTAACAACGATTGGTGTAGATGTGGTAACAGAGTATATAACTCCATCAACTGTAAGAGTCTCAGAAACACCTTTAAATGTACTTTTCTGTGTATATTCGTTATATTCAGACTTGTCCTCTTGATTCCACTCTTTGTCTTTATCTGACAAAATGGATATTTGTGTTGCTATTGATTGGTCACACACTAAAAGAGTTTCCCATGCTTTTTGATTGATGTTTAACTCACACAAAGAAGTGTACTCATACATACCATTTTCACTGGTATAACTAATTCTCACAAAATTTGAATTGTCACAACTTGCTCCAAATAGTGTTTTCTGAGGGAATATGACATACACAATATTTCCACATATATTCCGCGTTTTTGTAGATGTTGTCAAAGTGATATTTACTTCAGACAAGAATGTCGCTTGAACTTCTAAGTCTCCGATAATGATCTCACGGAATTGTGTTTTGACAAAACAATTAGTATAAGGGCAGTGCACCTGTGCAAATGGAAAAGTGTATGTATACTTTCTCTTACTTTCCCAAATGGGATGGATCATTTTACAAACTCTTTCCTGGGATATATTAACTGGGCAGTAAGTTAATACACTTCCTTCTAAATCACTATAAACACCTTCCCTTGTTATCTTTGGTATTGAATTCACATCACTTGCAAATGACATCAAGTCCACACACATATACTCTGGAAGTTTAAAGTGTGTCAAATTAGTGTCGCTGAACGACACAATTCCATCAAAGACATTGAAAATTGATTTACCATTTTGGATGTTTAATAAATCGACGTTTATTGAGTGAAAAGTCCAATTTGCAATTAAGCCATAACATGTGTCGAAGTACTGATCTAATACAGTACATCTTTCATACAAAAATGCATCCATATCTATTAAAAAAGTGGTGTTGTCAAACGTCTCAAGGTATCTAATAGTGGTGCTGGTGTTATTCAAGAACTGTATGTTACTATTATCATGTGTTTTCAGTTCCCAAATTGAGACATTTTTGTTCTCACCAATTTGTAACAAAGAGTTGTCGTACATCTCAACTTTATAGAAATTGTATTTGTCTTCACCTTTAACTAGTACTTGAGACCAATTATAGAGAGTTACTTGATAGATTCCATCTATTTGATGCAAATCATCTTTCATATTAATTTCAAGAATTGATTCGTCTCGCATCTCCACAATAGTTCCTTTGTAATAGTCCAAGAATGTATCACAGAAATATAGAAATGATGAAGCCTCTTTGATTGACAGATACGAAGTGTTGGACATCCACATTTTATTTGGCGAGAAAAATGAAGAACCAAAGAGGTAAATCGAGGAGTTGTCCATCATATAAAATTCATCGATCAATGAAATGAAAGAAACACCATATGTTTTTATTCTTGAAGAGTTGTGCATTGTGAATATGGAAAATCCAGAGAAAGTTGCGTTACATATAATTAGTGAATTGTCGTACATATGTGATGTTGATGTTTTTATATAAGTGACAAACTTTGATTGTTGCGGAATAACTAATTGAGAAAACCCGGACATGTTTAATACGAATGATAAGTTGGCCACAAAATTGAATGAATTTAGGCGACTGTTATCACTTAAGTCAAGAAGTGAGATTGTACGGATGTTAGATGACAACAATGAGGTACTAATTGTAGTATCGTCTTTTAAGTATAATTTGTCGACTTTAAGAATTAAATTGGAAGGTAAATCACCATTGGAATTCCCACTAAACAGTAACTTGTCTGCGCTTATAGTTGTAAATATTGATAGTGTATGGTTAAAAGAAAATTGAGTTGAATTCAAGTAAATACAATTGGCTGAAATGCTTGATTGTCCAAAAGTGAGTAACACACTCTTTGTCAATTGTAACGATCCAGACACAAATAAAGAAGAGTCTTTAATTGATATAGTAACGTTGTGTAATTCCAAATTTCCATAAACATCAATCGACTGCATGTGTTCAAGCACAATGGTCTGGTTTTGAATTTTGAAATCGTTCATTATAGACAATTTGACGTTGTTTCCCATTTGAATTGTAGTAAATACAAGATTCGACATTGTCAGAAGAGTTAATGTGATTCGTGTGTTATTCTCAAAGACCCCATTCCCAAACGACTCAATATAGTCCTTTCCGATGGTGAGTTCAACATTAGCACCATCTTTCACTATTAAGTCTGGAACTGTTATAAATGCCGAAAAACACATATCTGTAAATGTGAAGGAGTCGTAAATAAGTATTTCATCGCAGTTGAATGGCGGAAGCGCGACTGTGTCATTTGAAATATAGCCGTCATTACAGCGTGATGTCTTTGGAATGCAGACGGTCGACGACATCACACACAGCAAAAAAAAAAAAAAACTCCCATCAATTGTCGGAATTGCTTTTAGTATTCGAGTTAAAATGGGGTTTTTTTTTATTCTCTAATTATTATATGATTTACCCGTTTGTTTACAACATTTTTAAGCAAATTATTAACATTTTATTATTTTTTTAAACTTTTTTTATTAATAATTTAATTATTTTTAGTTTATTATAACAACAATGATGTTTTTAATAGATAACTACACATTTTTTTTTTAAATAATTAATTATTCGAATATTAAAATAGTATTTTATTATATTATTATACTATAAGTTATATTTTTAATTAAAAACCTTTTTTCAAAAAAGTTATGAATAGATGGTATAAATTTTTATTATATATTTAACTATAATTATAATTAAACTTCTTTTTATTTATTTAAAAAAATATTTTTTTTTAATAAATAAGTGTTTTTCAAAAAAACAAATTTGTTTTGTAATTTTTCAAAATTAATAGTATACTTAATTATAATCATTTATTATTTTATAAATAATTAAATCAATGATAAATTATAATAATATAAACAATTTGAATCATAGATACCGATTTGCAACTACCAAATTGATAAGAAAGAAATGAATTAGTAAACGATTTCTAACGATTTTGGGAATGGTTTGTCAGTCTTGTCGATTTTGTCGAGTATAGACTGATCGACTGGTGTTTTCTTATCCGCCTTATACTTCACGAGAATTGCGTGCATGATTGAACCTGAGATGTTAGGGAGAGTGTCTTTCAGTTCGTTATAATCGAACTTATCTTTCGAGACCCCAATCAATAACAGAGATGCAGTATCAATTCCCGAAGAAAACCATTTTCTGTATCCTTTAAGTGTTGTGTTTTCCATCATTTCGCCGTCCAATATCGAGAAGAAGAATTTCAGTTGGAGTCCTTTGAAGTAAGTTACTGTATCATTTTGTACAAGTAACTCAATAATTTTTATTGAAACAAATCTAACACAGTGGACCATCAATTGGTCGACCAATTTTTCATTTAAGTTAGCCTTTTTGTATTTTCCCAAAAGTGACATTAAGTGCTTTGGAATGAATTCGGCAGAAACTTGTTCAAATTCTGCGGCTTGTCGTTTCTCGAAACATTGATTATCGAACATCATCCCTTCGATCATTCCATTAACCTTTTCCATTGAATATTGTACCGTTTTCAAGAACAAAGAAACGTACAAATCTTGGAGTTGAAGTTTTAACGAACCATCCCGTTGAACTGGAACAACTTTTTCTTGTTTTGTTAACAAAGCCAAAGACTGTAACAAAGAAAGCGATGTTTCGAGAGAGTCTCCCAAAACTTTCAATTCGTCCAATTCCGAAATTTCTTTAGTTTTGTCGCCAATAATCTCTTCGACAATATGTTTAGTCAACTTTTCACTCTCTGAAATATTCTTGTGATAGATATTAACCAACAACTCAACTGTACTTGGAGCTGCCTCTTCTGGTTTTTGTGTTTTTAAAGTCATTATTTCGGCTTCAAAGTCTTTGTTCTGTTTCTTCAAAGTTTCATTTGCAGTCGTCAATTCGCTGTTTTTGTTTTCCAACTCAATTTCTTTAGTTTTCTCGCTTTGAGAACTTTTCAATACTTCAATTTCTTGTGAAAGAGCCAACTAGTAATGAGTCTTTTTGACACCTTTGTTTCTTCCACCCATTTGAAGTCTAATATCTCTCTTTAGTATAATGTTTATAGCATAGTTCTATAGTAACTATGATTAATTAACAACTCAGACTCTTATGGACTTTATATAAAAAATACTTAACAACTCAAAGACAGACCATACACCAACACACACCATATCATACTCAGGACTTCAATTTATAATTAATAAAGTATAGTATATATTGTAATAAATACATCAAAATATAACAAACGGATTCAGCTTTGATCTTTGCGATCTCTTCGTTCTTCTGTTTGAGTAACTCTTCAGACCCTTGTGAAGCACTTTCCTCAACAGCTTTCATCTTCTTGTTGAGTTCTTCGATCTCCTCATCCTTCTTGGTATTATTGTTCTTAAGTTCAACAACAAGTGCAGCGGACGTAGCAAGTTCGGCAGCAACAGCAACTTTGGCCTTTTCAGTCTCATCAACTTTTGCTTTCAGTTCTTCATTTGCTTTCTCCTTTTCTTCAACATCTTTCTTGGTCTTATCAAGCTCTTCAGCCTTCTTCTTGTTTTCTTCTTCAGACGCATTGAGTTTGTTTGAGACTTCTTCTTTCGACTTTTCAGTTTCAGCCACTTTTTGGGTCAAAGCAGCGACTTCAGTTTCTTTAGCTGCGATTGCGGTCTCCTGTTCATTAGTAACAATTTGAAAGGTTGGTGACATTATAATATATAAAGGTATTAAATAAGTTATAAGAGTTCTATTTCTCTATGATACTTTATGATATGTTATGAGTGTTATAAGCAAGCGAAGGTGGTGTGTGGTGTATGTTGGTGTATGAAAAAGATAAGCGGGACCTCATATAGGCTTGTCGTGCTGGGACAACAAACTTTTTCCTTAGCGGCGTCTTGTTTGAGTTTTTCTATTTGTTTTTGCATTGCCTCTTTCTTGACTTTATGTTTTGCTTTTTTCTCTTTCAGAGCTTTTTCAACTGCTTTGTCGATGTCGTCTTGCGTGTATTTCTTTTTACTATCTTTCTCTTTCTTCCCTTTAATTTTAATGCCAACAGAAGAGAAAATCGTCGGCTTTTCTTCGGACTTTTTGGCATCTTCCTCGGCTTTTTTCCGAGCAGCCTCGTCTTCTTTTTCTTTGTTCTCTTTTTGTTTCATCTGCCGTTCTAATAATTCTTGTTCTTCTTTGTCTTCTTTTTCACGTTCAAGACGCTCTTTCTCGGCTCTTTCTTTTGCCTTTTCTGGGTCTGGAGACTCTTCTTTTTCACTGATATCGTCTTTGATGACCTTTTCTTTTTTAACTTCATGGTTTGATTTACTCACTTCTTTAATAAGTAAGTCGTGAACATCCATATTAGTTTGGGCTGGGTCCTTATGAATTTGAAGAACTTCTGTTTCGTCTTCGGAACCGCCTTCTACACCAACACCAGATGATATCGTGATATTCATTTTAGGCGTTTGACCTTTTCCTTTCATGTCAACTTGGCAATCTTTTTTTTCACCATTAAGATCGGCAAATTTGGCTAAGTCAATGACCCCCTTACATATTTCTTTGGGCTTGTCAGTGGATGTCCAGATAGAAAGTTCCAAGCCTTTTTCTTCATACCCATTCTTTTTGAGAAACAGTGTGCAATTAATTGGTATAGACACGGCTGGAGAATACAAAAGGACGCCACCATGCACTTTTCCTTTTTCTAAAGAGCCATGGTTTTCTTTCTTCTCACCTCGCCGCCACTTGGCAAACACTTCCGTGTTGTCGGCAAGCTTCAGGCCAGACGCCTGAATAATTTCTACAACATACTTCTGTTTGATATTCTTCTTTAATAACGACTTCATTCTGAGCAGAACCTTTGCAGTTCTCCCTTTTATAAAAAACTTAAAAATATGGAGGTTTAAGCGTTTTCAGTTTGAGGAAAGGAGTGCTATTGTACAGTCTTGTTATGAATCTGTGTGGCATTTTTGTTTATTTTAATTACTGTATGACAATATATAGTTTAATATGTAATACTTGTAATTGTATTTTCGATGAAAAATGAGTGTCATTAATTCATTGTTCAAATTGCCTTGTTCAAAGCATTCAAATTGCATTGGCTAAAGACGTCACTAACATTTTCCTCTTTTTTTAGCCCTTTAAACTCGTACCTTCAATTTTCTTTTTTAACTATATTCATATTATATATTATTAAATATATATAGTTAATTGTTTAGTTTCAATTAGAGATTTTTAAGTTCTTTTGTTGGTTTTTGATATAACTCGTTTTTAGTATTGATAATACTGTTTTTATTTATTGAGAGTGTTTTATCTCACAATTCAAAAGAACTTTTGAAATTACAAAAAATTGATTAACAATAAAATGTTTTAAAACAATTAAATATAAATACTATCAATATATTATAAATGTTTATATATTACAAAATAAATAAAATATTTTAATTAAAATCATTTTATAACCCAAACATCCCACAAATGAATAAAAAAGTCACTTATCAACTGAGGTGTTGTGCTAATCAACCAGTTTTTGTACTTTATTCTTTTTCACACATTTAAGTAGTACTACACACAACAAAGTCACAACACATAAGAGAATTAACACAAATACACACACAGAAACTGTTACGACTATTGTTGTCGTTTTGGTGTTTTTTTCTTTACAGACGCCACTAACTATTTCATATTCATCCGAACACTTTTTACAGTTAGCTTCATTGTGGCAGTCATCGCAATTGTCGCCACATCGTTTGCAAAATCCATTAATGGCATAGAAACCACGTTTACAAAAAAAACACCCACTTTTGGTGTCACAATTTCCACTCTCACAATTTGTGTCGCACATTTCACACCCATCATTTTGAAGGAAATAGTTTGTCCGACATTTGACACAACTTCCAACAACACATTCAACACAATTTTTGGAGCAACACATCCCTTCGATTTTGTCATAAGTAGAATTACATGTTAAACACAAATTAAAAGAGTTACATGTCAAACACTTCGCATCACATTTCAAACAAATTTTTGGGGAAACAGTGGAATTGATGTAATACCCACTTTTGCATCGATGGCAACCATCTTGGTGACACTCTCCGTCCTCACAAAACAAGTCACACTCAACACACTTCCCATCAGTTTTTTGAAAATTTGGAAGACATTCTGTGCATCCATTAGAAGTGCATACCGAGCAATTTAAAGGACATTTCACACAAAGAGGACCATCTTTAAAATACCCTGAAATACATTCTAAACATCCTGTAGATGTGCACATATTGTTTATACACCCATCTCCACATGATATACAAAATCCATTGTTATTGAAATAACCAGAAGAGCAAGTTGTACACGTCTCATTGTTTTTACAATTCAAACAATGTTTTGGACATTTGTCACAAAGTCCTGAATTCACAAAATATGTCTCAACACAACTTTCACATCCCAAAGAAGGATGGCATTTATTTATAACACAATTTGTGTCACATTTCGAACATGTGAAATTGTCATTTAGAAAATAGGTGGTGTCACAAGACTCACAAACTGTGTTATTTGAACACAACAAACAATTTGACATACATTGGTGACATTCTCCATTCTCAGAATAAAACGTGGTGTTACACGTTTTACAGCCAACGTCATCTATACATTCTGAAACACAATTTTTATCACATGAATAACACTTTCCAGACTTTTTGTAAAATCCAAACGAACAAATTCTACATTGTGTATCTGAATCACACACAACACAGTTGTCTGCACACTTTATACAAATACTAGTGTTTGTTATACTCTGGAACTTACCAGAATCACACTCTAAACACGTGTTTTGGTCACACTTGGAACACCCCTCACCACATTTCACACAAAGTCCATCATATAAATAATAACCTGATATACACGTGCGACATCCACTTAACTTCCCACAACTATTTTCTTCACAATTTTCAATTTCATTGCAGTTCCATTGATCACAAGAAATAGTGTTGTATGACACACTTTTTACTTTACCCATTGGGCATTTTTGGCACGTTTTGTTCAATACAATAATCTCATCTTCTGCGCAGTCCAACACGAGTGGTTGAATACCACAAAAATCAGTGCAATTACTTGTGGAGTTTACTATGACTTTTATTTTATTGTTGTTCAACCCAGAACACGTGAACTGTCCTCCATTATACACAATAAAAAAATTCTCTGGGACATTATCAAAAGCATTTGCACTGACTTTGGAAAGTGTTTTTCCCAAGACTAATGCCTTTAAGTTGGTACATCCAGACAATGCACTTGTAGATATTTGTGTTACTTGCTCTGCTCCAATGATATATTCCAGTTTCTTACAATTTTGGAATGCATATGTCGGAATAAATTGGTACCCTCTTAAGTCAAAAATTTGAATTCCTGTTCCTCTAAAAGCACCCCACCCTATCGTTGCAAACGATTCAATTTCATTAGAAAACCCTTTAAAATTGACACACCCATCAAACGCAAAATTAGAAAGTGTTATTGGGCTATTCAAAGCAACTTCTATATATTCAATATTTGTATTTTTGAACGCATTTATTCCAATATTGGAAAGCAAGTTGGAGTGAGTTATTTCACTGAGAAATGTACTGTCGGCAAAGCAGTTATTTGGGAGTTTATTGTACCCTCTTAAGTCGAAAGTTTGAAGTGAAGTATTATAAAATGAATTTTCAGCAAGAGCTTCAATTTTCACATATTGTATAGTGACCTCCACTGCGGCTAAATTCACACACCCAGAAAAGCAATGATATATAAATCGGAGGTTTTCTTCACCAGTGAAAATGACTTTGGTGATGTTCTTGTTGTTTTCAAAAGCATTAGAGTCAATGCAATTGAGTGAAGTGGTGATAATACCTTCCATTGTTGCTGCTGTGGTGGTGTTAATACACTCACGTGTTGTAGATTGAGACACAATCGTATTAAACAATATTGTTACAACAAGAAACATTGTGTGTATAAAGAAGTGAGTATAGAGTTGTTTAAATCTCGCTGTTTGGAGTTAACAAAACAATAAAAAATTGTTGAAGTGCTTTTTTTTGGCGCTTTTTTTCGATATACTATTTACTATTATATATTATAAAATAATCATTAAAGTATAATAATACGTTTGTAAAGAAAATAAAAAAACAATTTTTTCTATAGATATCTATTACAATATATAATTTATTTATTAAAATATAATAATAACCAGAATTTTAAAATTTTATATTTTGTCAATTGATTATATTAATAAATAAATAGTAAATTTTTACTAAATAAATAACTTTGTTTTATATATTATTTTAGAAGTAAACAAAATTGTTTTGTGTTTAAAATACGAACAACATTAATTTTGTTATCCAATAAACCTGTAAAAAAAATAAAAGAAACGAAATAGGTTACAACAAAAGAAAAAGAACAAATAACACGACGACCAAATCTCTTTTCCAAGCGCCTTCATAACACCTGAAACATTCTTCCGTTTCACATGGTATCTCGTAGTCGATTTTACATTCACTGCACGTTATGTTGTTTTCAAAAAATCCCGTAGGACAACGAGTCACACAGACTCTGTTATGGTCGCTGAGATAAAACGTTTCATTGCACAAATTACAAGTAATCTCGGAATTGCAGTGCAAACAATTTCCACTGCATTTTTTACACGTTGTTTTTTGTTGGAAGTACCCATTCTCGTCACAACTTTCGACACACTGGTGCGTGTCTTCCACCATCATAAAGTTGTCGACACAACTTTCACAACTCGTTCCATCAACGCAACTCCGACAAGATGAGGCGCACAAATCACAAGTCTTGTCGCCTTTGTAATACCCAAGAGGGCACTCTTCATAACAACTTTCATTGAGAAAGTAATAGTTGTCATCACATTGATTGCACGTGTTACTATCAACACATTTTTGACAATTCTCTTTGCACTGCGAGCAGGTTGTGCCGTTTTTAAAGAAGTTGTTTGGACAGACAGACACACAACTTCTATTCAAAAATGTAATGTAATCAACACCACACGAAGAAACACAACCGTCGTTTTGTACCAACAAATTGGCATCGCACAATTCACAGTTGGTGTCGATACAAATTTTACAATTTTTGTGTATTGAAAGACATTGTGTCATATTAATGGGACATTCGTTACTCAGTCCATCATCATTAATAGTGTTTGGCGGACAATTTGAACAAATTACTTTCTCGTCAGCAACCAAATTCTTGGTGTCGATGTAATGAAATCTGTCGCAAGTCGACTTTTGGACTCCAATGTTTCCAAAATGTGATGAATTGTACGTGTCTGGCACAAATACCTTGAGTCCTTGATTTAATTCAGAAATTTCGAGTGGGGCAAATGTGTTGTGATAGAACAGAAATTTTGCATTTGAGAAATCAAAGAGGACTTTTTTGAGTCGATAGAAATGGAAAGTTTCAACCAAAGTACATTGATAAAAAGCGTTCATCCCAATTTGTGTGACATTCTCCGTATGATGTATTTTTTCCAAATTTTTACAGCCAGAGAACATTCCATTGGTGATGTAATTGGCTCCATTGATATCAATTTCTCTTAATTCAAGGCAATACGCAAAAACGGAGTCTTCAATAGTTTTGACTACATGTGGCAGTTTGACGTAATTGAGTTTTGTCTGTGCAAACGCGTTTTTGCCCAAAAGAACATAATTGTCGCTGAGATTCAATGAAGTGATTTTTGTCCCACAAAACGCATTTTCCGCGATGGACGTCACACTTTCAAAACCAACAAGTTGTTTCAATTCGGAGTATGAAAAACAGTCTTTTGGGATTGTTGTAATACCAGTGATGTCTAATGTCGTAATACCTGAGCCACTAAACGAATATTTACCAAGGGATCCAATCCCACCATCGGCAGTGAAATTGAGCATATTGTAATCCCCATAAAATGCTCCCGACCCAACTGTGATTTTTGTGTGTGTAATAAAATGAAACGAAGTGATTTTGTCGTTGGCTTCAAATCCTTTTGGAGAGATACAAGAAGAGTCCGCAACAACCAAATCTCCTTTACATGAACTTGTAAAGTCACCAATACATTGCGTTTTATCATCAATGGTATAACATGAAGAAAGAACAGTGACTAGCAAAAGTGGGAAAATGGACACACGAACAAGCATTCAATCGTTTGGTTAAAAAGAATCGAATCACTTTATATCATATCAATATACATGCTCTCCGAGCAATCTCTTTCCTTTTTCCACTTTGTAATTAAATATATAAGAAATTTAAGTGTATTATTTTTTTAATAGTATTTTTTCATCGTTTTATAGTTATACATTTTTATTATAAACAAATCATAATTTATAACTAATTTTTTTTTAATTCTGTTTATAATTAAATCTGTGAAATTTTTATAATTTGTTAAAGACTTTTTATTAAAAAATTAATTTATTTATTATCATTTTAAATATTTTTTTTAACTAAACAATTTTATAATATTTATTATGTATTTAAGATACAATTAAATAGATTAATAGTATTTTTAGTTTCCTATATTAAAATAGGGAAACTAATATTGTGAGAATTGTCTTCCTTGTAAAACTCATTTGTTTGATAGGCATGTCAGTAACCATGTAATTATAGAATGAAAACCAGAAAGTATGGTAAATAATTTACTATTAGTTAATAAATAATATATTTATAAGTTTAGCATTTGTCATTTTACAAAACATCACCAACAAGAACAAATTCCAGAATTTGTGGTTTTGGAACTATCGCATTTACAATGAGGTCTAAAACTCATACACAAAACACATAATGCCGAAAATACGCAAAACACACAGAAATACGGCAAAGTGTGATGCTCAGAACTCAATATGTTGTATTTTAAAACGATGTGTGATTTTACAGATTTTTTGTGTGAAAAGCCAGAGACAATGAAACTGAATAACACGTGTGCGCATTGGACATGAAATGCATTTGTCAAAGTCATTTTGCAAAACTGGAAATAGTTTTCTATTTATGTTGGAGAGTAAATGGTTTGCTGGTTATTCAATTTTTGTGGCAACAATCGGGGTATTTCGGTGAAATAAACTCAGAAAGAAACACCGAAACCTCAAATTTGGAAATAGCAAAAACTAAAGTTGGAATAAACCTGAAACAACCATATCATATGGTAAAATAATAGTACAATAATCATAATTGTATAGTAAATCAAATGAGATTTAATTAAACTCATAATTCCAATCACAGTATAATTGGAACGAGGCTATATTTAAGGCGAAAAAAGACGTGAATTTTGAAATCAAAATGATCAGCCTTAAGCGGATAACACGATCAACAGACACACTGTTCACACCAGCACTTCATTTGCTCAACAATGCATTTGAGCCCGAGTTGCGACGCCCAGAAGCACAGTTGAAATACATCATTGAGAATGAGCCACGACACCACTTCTTTGCTGTAGTGTATGAGAAGAAAATTGCAGGCGTTTGTGCGGTGTGGAGAATCATCAAAGATGTCAATTTCATTGAACACGTTGTCATCTCACCCGACATGCGTGGCCTGTGCATTGGCAAAAAGGTCATTGATCAACTAAAACAATTGTTTTGTGGTCATTGGTTGTTGGAAGTCGACGGCGATGCAGCCCACGAAAAACTTCGAAAATGGTACACATCTTTTGGCTTTAAAACACTCGACAAATCATATCTCCAACCTTCTTACGTTTTTAATGGGCACCAAGTCCCACTCTTTTTGATGGGAAACATCCCACAAGAATCACTCACTTTTGTCGTCAACACGATGAAAAATCTTGTTTATTTCAACAACAACAAACAACTCATTCATGTCTGAGTATTTGCTTACTCACTCTGTTTTTTTGTCTAAAGCCATTTCTTTTTTATCTTCTTTTTCATCTTCTTATCCTCTTTCTATTCATCATCTATTATCTCATTAGTTCTTATTACTATACTATTAAAACTATAATTAACTTATAATTGATTAAATTTTTAATGAATTAATTATTATAAAATTAAAAATTTAATTTCATTAAATTATTAAATTGTAATTTTGTTTATAAAATAACAACTAAACAGTTTTTCAAATCTTATTACTAATTATAATATAAATAATAGTTATTTATGATAATTATCATTTGAAGTTTAAAACAAAAAGTAAAAACACAAACGAAAAAATAATGATAATGAAAAAAATGTCATATAAATAGCGCTAATTATTTATACAATTTGGTGGTTGTTTTCATTAGGCAAAAATCATCAAAAAACAGAAGCAAATCGTTTTAAAAATAGTTTAGTGTTATTTTTGTAAAACGAGACAGCAAGAACAAATTTACGATACAAACAAATTGACAATTAATGAAAATAAGGATAAGCTGAGGTGTGATAATAAACGTTAGCGTAATCCTCGGAGTCTGACTCCGAGTCTGAATCCATCCACATCATTTTCTTCTTCTTTTGAGCCATTAAGTCTATACCAGTCTCAAATTTATCCAGGCTGAACAACGGGCGTTCAACAACGAAATTGATCACCACAGAGTCGTCAGAATCAAAAGATGGGTTTTGACAACGTGAATTCATATCCTTTGACTGCGAAATTTCAGTTGGCGAGATAATTACTTATGTAGAATCTACTTACTATAATTTATAGATTATTTACCTTAATTGATTGTTACACCCTTTTCATTTTCTAGACGAAAAATAGTAACTTTGTTTTGGAAATATTTTTAGAATAGTATATCATATAGTTAATTTATTCATTTTATTTACCACTGAAAACGAAAAAAAAACAATAACTATAACAAATCACAATAAAACTAATGAAAAAAAACTTTTATACAGTCTGTCTTTTAAAGTTATCTGGTGCCTTTTGGACCATAAAAATGGGAATAATTCGGGGAGTAGTCCCAAAAACCCATCCCAATTGTTTCGGGTTTTTTCACGTTTTACCTAATGCCCGATGTTTAGACAAAAATGAATCTATTTTTTGTCCACCAGATAACGTTAAAAGACTGACTCTAGACTTTTTGACGAAAAAAAAAAAAAGAACAACAATTAAAATTTTTTTATTAAACAGTTTCGAGTTTTGTAATTGTTTCCCCATATAATAGACTTAATTTGGCTTATTTATCGAAATGATATAATCTAATAAATCATCTTAAAAAGTTGAAAATAATAATAATAATTAGATCATCATATTAAATGTCATTTCATCATTTTCAAAATAAACATTTTTCCACGCGAATTTGTTTAACTTTATGTAATTCTATAATGATTATCGAAAACATTTTTCATAAATGTTGAAAAGGAATAACCATTGGGTTTAAAAAATATGTGTTTTAAAGTTGAAATTAAACGACATGAGTTCCAGCCCTTGGATCCAACTTTTGAAGCAAAACCTCTTTTGTAATTTCACTTTTATTAAGAACTTCGAGTTGACCGTGATGTGGCTCTAATACATCCCAAGCCATTTGTGTGAGTTGATTTGATTTCACCATTTTCATTCCTCTAACATTTGGTCCTTTCCAATGAATAAAAACAATTCGATTCACATTTGGTACGCCTTCATACGTTAAACGACACGAAAACAAACAGAAGCAAACACAATCATCGGGTAAACTCTTTTTAAAGGATTCTATTCCCACACCTTCATCCCAAAAGTCAAATTCAACGCCCATCCCAACAACATTTGCTATAACCCATGCTCCATCCGGCGCATTACGATCCGTTACTTTCCCAATCGCTTCATGTAATCCTCCACTACGTTTTGTCATTCTATTTTTAATGCTTTTTTTAGTCTTCAAAATATCATAACGTTAAAAACTTGAATTGAAAATTTTGGAGTTCACATCACTCATTTTCGATCATACATATTTTTTAATATATTCTTTTTATTATATCACAATTTTTAATCTCAAATTAAATAAGACTGCCATTTAAAATTCCGCTCTAATAAATTTAATGAAATTTAAATTACTTCAAAGATTTCAAATTTTTTTATTAATAGTTGATTTTTTGAAAAGAACTTTTTCAGTTTTTTAATACAATTATTTTTTAATTCATTCAATTAAAAAACACGTCACTTCAATTGAATTAGTTTTGATCCTCTTTTTCATCCTTTTCGTCTTTTTCTCCTTCTCTTTTGTAAATGTCAGTGACCATTGGCTTCATTTTCTCGACGAATTCTTTGACATTGAATCCAAGTTTGACGTCGATCTCTCCACCACCTATCCAGCAATAGTCTTGTGGCAATCGAGTGATATCATCGGCCAACACGACGGGGATTTTTTTATTCATTCCAAAAGGAGTGATGGCATTATGTTCGAAGCCGGACAGTGTGATTGCCTCAGACTCGTCGGCCACTCTGAAATGGAAACACTTCTTTTTGACTTCGGGGTTGACCGCTCTGAGATACTTAAACAGTTTGTGGGATTGCATCTGTGCGACGTATTGTACTATTAATAAATAAAATCGTGCAAAAGTGGGAGTCTCTGTTGCTCCTGGTGGAAAAGCTGTATTCTCTAAAATCAAGGATTTACACAATTGGGAAGTGCAAGGGGTGTTCAACTGTCTTATTCTCTCTTCAAACGGCGAGTTATAGTAATTGTCATTCACTCGACTTAAACAGGATGAGGTGATACCCTCTTGTATCGCACTTTCATAACAGCGGATAGTTCCTTTGGGAGGTTTATCAGTTATAATGGTGATGAGGGTGTCAAGTTGCCTATAAGCACATTCCATCGGTAATGGGTTTGTTAAGTGAATGCGAGCAGGAACAGACGGGATTTCAGTTGTGAGACGTGAAATGAGCGAGTCTAATTTGCTTAGGGTTTCTACTTGTTAAAACGTTTGTTATTATTTCGTCATATTTTTACGTTTCTTGTGACTCAACTACGGCTTGGGTATGTTTATAAGAAACTTAAAATTCGTATGTTAACGTTGAAATGAATAAATCGAGAAAAACGTCACAAACCCATTTCAAAAAGTGATTTTATTAACTAGTTCTTTATCTCTCTTTTAAATTTTTCTAAAAAGTTTTTGGTAAACTTTACCTTTTATTGAATTTCATTTCATTTTTGAAATTGATTAAAAAAACAAAATATGAAAATATGAAAATATTTATTATGAAGTGTTGAATTAAATTTACTTAATAAAGCAAAAATGTCTTTGTTGAACAAATTTAGTTTAAATTGTATTATTATTAATATATTTAATTATAAAAATAAATTTTATATTATTGGTGTTACATTGGTGTAAAAAATAATAAGGCGTCTGTTATTAAAATATTGTTCAATTTTGTGCAACATTTTTTATTAAAATTTTATAGTAAATTTATTATATAAAATAAGTATTAGATTATCGAAACACACAAATAAAAAAACTATATGAATTATAAATTTATAAATTATATTAGAAACCATATTTTAGTAAAAAATAACTACCAATTTCTAAACTAAAAAAACAAAAAAAATTAGTAAAAAAAAGCTTAATAATCCCGAAACAATACATATTAACAATCCTATAAAATGAAAAATCAATGACTTAGGAGAAAACTTAAAAAAGGGAACTGCAAAATCATATTTTATCGAATGAAAGTACAAGGTCTTTTATTGTTCGTCATTGTTCTTGTTGCCAGTGCGCAGTCATCTGGGTTTTGGACACCAACGCTGTACAAAGTCCAAGAGAGAATTGGAGAGTTGTCAGTTAGAATTGAAGAGGTTGAAGACGCTGAGCGACATATTGAAGATCAAATTGACATTGCCATCAGAGACTTGAAGCACTCGGTCACTAAGAAGCAAAAATACATCATTGGCCGCAGACTCTCCCATCTCAGATCGAAGCTTGTCGTCCTTAATACTCAGAAGCTCGCCATCTTGAGAGGACTCAGAAGAGTCGTCAAACGCATACCACTCAAGTACAGAAAATTGATGATTAGAAAACTCAAACTCGAGAAGAGATTTAACCAAATCCGAGAAGTTTCGAAGGACGCCACGGCCTTGTTACAGCCAAAGTATGTCGTTCATCATAAGGCGTCCACCAAAAGAACCCTCAAAAACCTTGGTCACGGGTTGGCTGATAAGGTCAAGACCATTGGTAAGAAGTAAACGAAGTAATAATTTTATTTACCCGTTTGTTCATCTGTTTTTCCACAATCCTCCCCTATCTTTTCTTTCTTTCCGCTTTTCTCAATCTCTTTTTGATTTTTGTGAAAAATGATATTATGTCATTTTTTTCATCAAAACAAAATGTTATATAACAAAAATGAAGCGAGCAAAATACAGAGTTAATAATTATTTTTAAAGCATTTGATGTGTGAGCTTGATATAGGGACGTCGCTGACTTCTTTTTGGTTTAATGTCTAGAGATGAATATCTTAAATGAAATGAAAAATGAGCGAATGAGTTTCATGTGATTGTTAATGGAGGAAAGAGAACAAACATATTCTTGGAAAGTCTTTGGGAAGAATTCGTTACTGTCATCACCAAAGCCTTCACCACCCGTGAAACTCCTTGCTATCTTTATCTGTTCTGTACTTTTCATCATCTCTAAGAAGCCCAAGGACTTTGTGTTCCCATGATTATTGGCTTCGGTGACATTCTGTGGCTTCTTTTGCGCTTGTTTCATCGCGACTTCGCGTTTGAGTGCGTTGTGCAACTTACCAGGCATCTCTTTCATCTTTTCTTGTTGAGGCATCTCATCCAAATCGTTCAAATGAAGTACTTCGCTTTTTACTTCCGTTGTGCTTTCATTTGCGACGTCGACGCGGTCACTTGAAACGCCAAAGGGATTCTCTTCATCATAAGCAAAATACGACTCGTCTTCCTTTTCGTTCACATTTGCTTCGATTAAATTGACTGCACAAGACGATAACATCGCCTTCTCTTCATGCTCAATCTCAGCCTTTTCAGAGTCAAACTTCTCTTCAAGACGTTTAACGTAGTCTGCTATCTTTTGTTCTTTCAGTTTATAAAGCGCGTCAACACGCTCTTTCCGAATTTTGGCAATCTCTTTGCGCTCTTCTTCATCAACAAAGCCCTCGACCAACTCTCCAGAAGTGTCTAAAAAGATCCCATAGGTGGTCGAAAAGTGTTTGTTTTGAATGGAGTCCGTGGAGTTATCTAATAAAAGAATCGTTTTCGAGTCGTCGTTTTTCATAGCCAAAAAATTTGATTTGCAATTGAGACACTTTAAGATGTTCCATTTGCCACTTTTGTGCGACTGTGTTAAAAAGGTGTATTTCACCGTTACACTCCCTGTCAGCCACTCTACTACTTTATCTTCAGTTACTGGTAAACCATCTTCGGCACTCTTCTCACGTCGAACTGAGTTAATTCGGATATTACAACAGGCACACTGAAACGTTAAACTCATTCGATCTACACCCTTCTTTTTTAGTTCATCTCCTGCAACTTTTTTGCAACTTTTGTGTCACTTCCCTTCATTCTTGCTATTTCTTATATCAAACTTTTCTTGCGTATTTCTGTATTTCGCTTTGTGCACTTACTAATTCTTTTTAATTTCTTTTTAATTCTTGAATTTTTGTTGTTCAAAAGTAAGTTTTATTACTTGAGAATAATACATTTTACTATTATTTACTAAATCGTATTCTCTTGACATTTAAACTATATTAATAATTATTTTTATAACATTTATATAATACTTAAGAAAATGGTAAAACAATTCAAATCTCGCACACTTTCCATATAACGCAAGTTGGAAAAACATTTTGAATAACAAAAAATACAGATCACTCTTCGAGTGTTGCCAAAATGAGTCGTTTTAACTCGAACTTCTCTGGATGGACTTTCCCACACAAGGCCTTTTTCTCTCCGTTATACTCAAATGTGTCTTGTGAACAAAAACAAATGGTTTTTCCTTTATATTTTCTCATAATTCTAATATCATCATTTCCCACAGCGAAGAGACCTGATTGAGTAGGTTTTCCGACTAAGAAAGCATTACTTGCTTTCTTCTTTTTAATATCAAACTTTTTTTCATCTTTTTCTCCATTCCTTTCTAACACAAATACAAACGCATTCTCGTCGGCTACCCACGTCGCTTCTCTCTCAACCTTTTCTGTAATGACACACCCAAAGCGATTCTTCAACTTGTCATCAATACACAACACAAACCCTTTCCCATCTCTCACCCCGTCATTAAACATTTTACTATTCCGTCCCATCGCATTCACTTCCGAATCAAAAACAATGTTTCCTACTCTTCTCCCACTCCATTTAAATATCTGTTTACGTTCTTCTTCGGTAAGTATCGACTCATCATATAAAGAGATTGGCGTCATCTTTCTTTGTCGAAGTAACGCTTTCCTCGACCGAATCCGTCGCTTCATCTTTTTCTTTGGTTCGTCGTCTTCTTCACTTTTCTCTTCTTCGTCTTTTTCGTCACTTTTTTCATTCTCCTGACTTGTTGAACTTTTTAAAGAGTTGTCCATCACATGTAACATGTCTTCTATTTCAGTAGTTTCATCCTCTGATGGTTGCTCCTTGTTATTTGAATCGGACTCACCCTCTTTTGGATTGAGTGCTACACTTGATGATCCCATTGAATTGTTTGCTTTATCGCGAAGACTCATTAATTTCGCATTGAGTGATGTCTCTTTCTTTTGGAAAATAGTTTGTAGCTGCGCTTTTCGAAAGGAGTTCTTCTGGAGTTCTTCTTCAAATCTCTTTTGTTCGAGTTGAATGAGTTGTTGAATTGTCGTGTTGTTTGTTGTGGTGATGTTAACTTCGTCCGTATAACATTGCTTTTTGGTCTCAAATAACAATTCTTTCATATCATCTAAAGCTGCTATCGTTTGGTCTATTGCAAATTCAAACTGCGAACAAGTCTTCTTGGCTTCTTTTGTCTTTTCTAAAGTGTTTTCGAGAGTTTTCATAATGTCTTCTGAAGGACTAACTTGTATAACCATTTTCTTTGTATCAACATGAGTTTTCATCGCTTGTTTAAGTAGTGTAAATCGTTCGTCAATGTCTGGTGTAAATGTAAGTAAGTATTCGTATGGGTCTAAATTACTCATGACAATTTTTTATTTACTAGATTATGAAAAATGAACATCTAACCCTTACTCTTTAATTTTCTCAGTCGTTCTTCCTTCTATTTTTTATTATATTTTTTAATAAAGTTGAGAAGTATCTTAACTGATCATCATTTTCCTGGAGTGTTTTAACCACTTTATTGTCTCTTTTTAATATTAAAAATTCACTTTTATGTTGCATTTGCATAATAGAGCTGAATAGAGTCGGTAATAAAGTATATGAAAGATAAGGTGCAAGACACTTATATATTTTTATTACTTTCTTTTGAACAAATGTATATCACATTTGTCAAATTGCCTATTTCTCCTTTGAATTAAAATATTTTCTTTGAAACTTAAATTATAGTAATATAATTTATTAAGTCATAATTAATCATGTGTATATGAGAAATGTAAAAATAGCATTATTTACTTTCTATCATTTTTGTTATTGAAGCCGCATTGATGTGGTTGTTTATTTGTTATGAAGAAGGTTGTTTTTGTTTTTATGTCAAAACAATTCAATTCACTTGTTTATACTTTTTAGATAAAACAGTGTTGATGTAGTTATCAATAAAAAAAAAGTAATAATCATTGTTCAATAATTCAATAAGCCTTTATTATGTTTTAATTATCAATTCGATTGTAAGTTAGTGTTGTGATAATCATTTTTAAAACAATAAAAAGAGTTTTATCATTTATTGTATTTATTACCACAACATCTTTGCAAACATGTTAAAATCATTGAAACAATATCAACATTAATTGATTATAACCTTTATTATCGAACTAATTATAACAACACCTTTATTTTCCAAAACAATAATATCATCATAATCATCAAATAAATTGATATAACTTAAACCAAAAAAGGTTCATTTATAAAAAACAATCAAATAATTCAAATATCTTTATTGTCTCAACTTCAATAAAATAAAACAACAAATAATTCAATTCTTATTTTTTTGGATTGATAACGTTGGTGTTTTTTGATATTTCCAAATATTTATTGACAACTCTACTTGATACTATCAGTGTTTTTAATTTATCGCAACCTTTGAAACACCTTTCTCCTATTTTCACAACACTTCTCGGGATTTGTAAAGTTTTCAATGATTTGCACTCTTCGAAACATGAATGTCCAATTGTGTTTACCCCATCTGGTATATTAATTACACTGAGACTTATGCACAATTTGAAACAACTCTCTCCAATAATTATTACACCTTTTGTAATCACTGCCTTCTTTAGAGAAACACAACAATAAAAACACATTCTTGGTAATCTTTCAACAACACCTTTTACTTCAATTTTACTTAAAATTTCGCACTCTTCAAAACAGTTGTCTTCAATGATTTTAATATTACTTGGAATAACAACTTTTTTCAATGTTTTACAATAAGAGAAACAGTTGTATCCAAGTGAAGTCACATCGCTTTTAATTGTAATATTTTTTAGAGAGACACATCCATTAAATAAACATCCTTCATATCTTTGTATTGTGTTTGGGATGGTTAGAGATAACAAATTTCCACAATTTCTGAAACATCCTGTTTCTATAGAAGTAATATGACTGGTGAGTGTGACAGAAGTTAAATGTGAACAATCAACAAAACATTGTTTTCCAAGCGAAACGATTGAAGTTTTGAGATTGATTGCTTGAAGAGAAGTGCAATTATCAAAGCACAACTCGCATATCTTTGTAACACTTTCAGGAAGGTCGATTTGACTTGTTTGAGAGTAAAAAGATGTTGATAGGGAAGTTACTGTTATACCCCTTTGAAGTGGAAGTCCAATCAAATTGTGGTTTCCAAAAATAGCCAAGTTGTCTATATACGTAATTGGACTTTTTATTTCGATAATTTTTAATGAATGCATTGTATCATAATTCAAAAGTCCAATTGACTTGATGGATTTTGGAAAAGCAATTTTAGTCACTCCAGTTAGACCGTTCAGTGAATGATTTGCTATTGAAGTGACTCCATCTGGTATTTCAAATATTTTCAAATTCTCATTTAATAAACTTGTGTGTTCTATTGTTAAAGAGTAAATACTCCTGCATACCATGTACTTACTTTGAGAAGGCAGTGCTTTGTCAATTTCAACGTTTTTAAATGTATAATTTTTGTCAACGAAATTTTCAGCGACTGAACTCTTGACACTAAACCAAACAACAATTTCATAAAAATTTTCATGTGAGAGTGTTTTTGTGAGGGACAAAGTGTTTCCAAAATTTTCATCCTTTTCATTCCAAAGGTGTAACGTTTCCAACCGTGTAAAGTATTTTCTTGTTTTGGTAGTTAAAGGAATTGGGTTGAAGTGAAGTTTTTCGATAGTGTCTCTGTACTTCTTACAAGACATTTGCAGATGAACAAAATCGTTAAAACAAACAAAGTATTTCACAACAGTTAACATATGAAACCCACTTAATTTGCTCATTCAATTGAATTTGTATATTTCAAGTTTAGTTGTTTCCATGCTCCAATTTATCATTTGTCTGTTCTACACATTTTGTTCCAAAAATTACTTTGATGTAATAAAAATTTGAAAACGTTAATTATAAAGAATAAGTTTAACAAGTCAATTCCACAACACAACAATTTTCAAGTCAAAATATATATTTGTAATTGAAAAAATCAAATTATGATAATTTCAATTAAAACCCAAAAAAATGAAAAAATCGAATAAAAACAAATCAAAGTTCTTCATTATTCATGTCAACAGTAATTTCCCTTGTTATTGGGATAACTTCCTCATATCTAGTGTCTCCCATTTCCTCCAATTTTTCTCTTCTTCCCCAGTATATGTTCCAGACACCAAAGAATATGTGTATAGCCAACGTCAAAAACGAGAAGACCGCTATTAAAATGCACCCAAGTTCATTATTGTCAACACACCCATCTCTGCAGTGGATAGTCCGTTTCGTGCAAAACCAAAATCCGTACGTGCATTGAGTTTCTTTAGTCCCCTCATAAGGGTAACACCCACACTGTTCATTGACACCATTGACACAACACCACGTGTTTTTCTCCAAGTTTGTGCGGTCACTCGTATTGAGTGAGGTGATGTCAATAGGGTCTTCTGCACCAAAAATGGCTATAGAGCCAATCACCAAATACGAAACACTCATTAAGACGCTCGCAGAGATGTACATTAACAAGAGAATGGTATTCGATCGTTTAATACTCACCACAAGTAATACTGCGCTGAAGAGTGTTATCCCAATATATGACAAAAAAAGCCGGTACGTCTTCAAGTGATATATCCCGTCTCCAAGGGTGACCGGATGATTCTCAACACAAAACAAACAGAACGTCAAAAATAATACAAACAGAAGAAGAACTTTCAGTCCGCTCTCAAAATACGTCGATCGAAGATATTTGAACACTGTCATCCACTAACTACTACTTTAAAAGAACTTCATTTCTTTTGTTGTCTTAAAAATCTTTATGAAAGTGAATAGCTTTTTATTGGTTTGAAGTAGTTTGTTTTTTTCTGATTCTGTGGATTTTATCAGAACATAATAAATTGTTTTTTGATACTTGTATATTCAAATTAAAATATTGCTCTAATAAAAAATAGGATATAAGAAATTAACGAAGACATCAAGTTTTTTCTACAAACAAAGTGTTAAAAAAAATAGTTAATCATTAATTTTTTTAATTATTTTATGGTTTTTTATTTGTAAATTTTACGAAAAATCTGTTCTATTTTTGCTTCTCTTGGTTTCTGTTTTTTAATTCATGATATTCTTTTGAATAATTCAAAAAGGTTTTTCTAAAAAAAGTTTTAAATTATTTTTTTTATGTTAAACAATATTATTTTAAACACTAAAATTATTAATATATTCTAGTTAATAAGATAATGATACATGTATCATTATCTTATTATAAATGCATAATATTTGATATAATATAAACTATCATAGTATAAAACTATTATTATTACTTTTACCAATAAAAATTAAATTTATTAATATAGTAAATAATAATAATAGATCCTCAAACTAATTAAAAGTAATACCTCAAACTAATTAAAAAAAGTATTTTAAAATAACACGAACATTACTAAATTCATCTCATTATCATCAAAAACTCGTCTTTAGATATAGACCCGTCTCCATCAGTATCGATGAGCCCTGCGATTTTATCTGCGTCTTTATCCGAGTAGTTTGGATTTAAAATTCTCAAGAAGTTTTTCAGCTCCTCTTTTGATACCGAACCGTTATGGTCTTGGTCGACTAAGTTATAAATCATTATATTGACCATTTTATGTTTGTCTGTGATGCCATTTGGCATTGCATTACAAATCCTTTGGAATTCGGATTTGTTCAGTTTACCATCTTTAGCATTCCAAGCCCCAACTCCATCCACTATTTGGAACATGAATGTGAATTTCTCATCATATTCATCTCCCAACCCAGTATACTTCTTCATCCCATTCAGAAATTCACTCGTATCAATAAAGCCAGAATGATCCGAATCAAACGAATCAAAAATTGCTCCTGCGTCCATTTGTTTTTTTGAAGTTCTTCATCATTTGAACTTATTTTGAGTTTTCTCATCTTTTTCAAATGTTTTCAATAACACTACATTTGTGAGTGTTTTCAACTCATTTTTTCAAAGTAATTTGAACTGTTGACTGTTGATATTTCAATAATTTGTGACTCTGTTTTCAAATGATATATTATTAATAAAAATTACTATACAATTTTAATACAAGAACGAAAAAAAACTCAATGGTTTTCTAAATAGTATGAATATTAATATTATAATTATATATGTATAGTACACGCATTGCTCTTGATAATAAACTATTTAGTAAAATTTACCATCAATTATAGAAAATGTCATCCATATCGACTCCATCACACCTTATCCAAGCTGATAGTCGACCTACTCAACAATTTTTGAATTGATTTCAGCTCCTTCTTCTCCTTTTGAACTGATGACTTTCTGAACGTTGCATTTCTCTTTTTCTCTTTAGGCAATTTTTTCAGTGGCACCGTCTTTTGTGATGTTATTTGTGCCTTTCCACCCTTCTCTTCTTCTTTACAACACTCTTTAGAATACTCTTTTGATTTTTCATCATTGACAAAAACCATTTGTTCTTGTTTAAGTTTCTCTTTATTATCGTTCTTTGCAAACGCCGCAGTCTTCTCTCTTTGAACTTTAGTATGTCCTTCTGTCTGTACCTTTGATTGGATATTAATTTCACTTTGTCCGTTTGTTTGTGGCCACGTCGGTGGTTTCGAAGTGATGAGGGGGGTATCTTGTCTCATTAATTTGTGTGAGCTTTTCCTTCTGAATTGTGGCGGTATACTAATACGGGCATTTTTCTTTTGATCCGATATAACAGCGACAATAGCATTCTCGTCGATTTTGTATATCTTTCCGACAAACTTAGCGAAGTCTGTGAGTGTCTTTGTGTCATTTTTTAAAGTTTGGAGGGTGCTGTCTTTCTTCCATAAGGTCAGTACGTTTCCCAAAAACGAATCGGTGACTACCCTAAAGTTCTCCAACACTCCAAATGATTTGACATCTTTCTCTCTAATATCTTCTTGCAATTTTTCGATTTGTGTTGTATAGTCCTTTTTCGTGGTATTCAAGTCATTCTCAAGTTGTGTTTGCATGTGTGTGAAGATCGCATTTTTCTCTGAAAGTTCAAGACAGTGTTTCATCAAGTACTCATTCTTCTGTTGCATTTCATTAACTCGCTCGTTCTCATCTTTCAACATATTGAACTTGACTATTTCGTTGTTAGATATGGTGATGTCGCACTTACAGCGAAGCGTCCCAGAAAATGGCTTCATGTTTTCATTCTTCTCGACCATCTCGAGTTTTTTTAACGTCTGCGCGTGGGAGTTCTTTTCAAAGAGTAAATCGTTGACGGCTTTCTCTTTGGAAAGTAAAAGTGATGATAGTTCAGTCTTCATCTCTTTAATGATCCTTGACATTTCTGTTATGTGTGTGACTAATTTGGCGTTCTCTTCTTTCTGTTTTGTATAAAGTTCCATCATGAATTTTAATTTCTTCATCGTCTCATTCCACGCCTCTAACAATTCTGAAGAAGACATGTCTGCATCGTCATCGGAACTTTCAGATGTATTTGTGTCACTCCCAGTGCTTGACGAATAACTTAGATCTCCGTCATCTGATTGGGAATATGCGTTTTCTTCATTTTCAGTGGTAGAGTGTGGCAAAGGATCATTACAAGACATTTTCTTTTTACTCGTTCCTACAATAAAGATTCATGAAAATTTTGTTTTTTTGGTTCATTTATTATTCAACTATTTAAATCGTTATTATATACTATTAAATATAAATCATTTCGAAATTGTAAAGTAACTTGTTTTTAAGTACAAAAGTCGATATTAATATCAAAATAATATATTTTTGAAAATTAGTATGAAAAGTATTAGTTTTATTTAAATTAACATTTAATAAAGTTATTAAACATTTTAATTCAAAATTTATCAAAAAAAACAGAAACTATTGAAATATAATATTTAATTATTTGTATTATTTTTTTTTCATTTCACTTTTTTCACAATTCTTATCATTGATAATTTCTTGTTCATTGTTAGGAACAAATAAAATTCTTAAATAAATGACCTTACATGTTTAAGTAAATATCACCAAGATAATTTCTTAAAAAACAGAAATAAAACGATAATTAAAATTAAGCCATCCCGAATCCCTGATTACATTCCGAAATTGCCATCATCAATTTATCTCGAAGTGTCTCGAAACTTTCGTAACAAGGTAGATCAAGTGTATTAAAGCATGTGTGTGCAACTGGAAGTGCTTCCAGTCTATCGACTCTTTGGATAGTGAAAGGCATAGGCCCACTATTTCCACTCAGATTTTTGAACCCACCCAATGGGACTTTAGATGATCCCGTTACAAATTGCACAAACAGCACTTTTTGTCTTTGTTCCATCTCACCAAAGACATTCCAGAACCATTCAATGACTTTATCAGATTCTCTGTATCCTCTATAGAGGGTGTTATTCTTCAAGTCAGTCCCATCTATCTCAGGCATCCCAGATATCAACAGTTCAAGTTCTGTATCATAGAAGTATGAAATAGCGTCAAATGGAATGACGCTGAAGAACCCTTCTTTGAACAAATCGATTTGTTTTTTGACCGACTTACTCAACTTGTAGTCGACTAACAGTTTGACGTATTCGTGTTTGTTCTCATCAGTGACGTCAATGTTTCTTCCATTTGGTTTCAGGTCGTCGACTATTTTCCTCCCAAATTCTTCATGTTCATAACAGAACTTCATATCCAAATCTTCAACACTGTTCTCCAAAACCCATTTCAAGTTTTTATAATATTGTTGGTCGACACTTTCCATATCACTGAGCGTGATCTCTTGCTGAAGAAGTTGTTTGTATATCGACTTCGTGAAATTGACATCAAGAAATTCCCCATCATACACAGTCTTCCCAACTACTCTCCCAATGAATTTGTATAACTCGATATCACTATACAATTCACTTGCCGGATTCGCCTGGAACTGTCCATCATCCGTCGGTCTGAATAACAGATAGTCCGGATTAAACATCGACTCAGCAATAACGCGGAGCCACTCTTTTCGAAGTCCTCCCATATCGATCCCCTGTTCACCCACAAACTTCACTTTCAATTTCCCTTTCAAGTCTTCATTCGTCGCAAACATCAACTGAGAGAAACTGTCTTGGAAGATGTTGTTCCGGTGAACGGATATATAGAATCCTCTTCTCGCATACTTCTTGTGTTCCTTTCTCATTCTCTTTCTGAACACTTCTGCTTTGGCTTCAAATGTCAAGAACTTCGGATATCGTGAGAGTAACACAAACGACGTCTTCATCTTCTCTGGTTCAATTCGAATGATCTTTTCCACAAGTTCTTTGTATTTATCCAAAAATTGATCAATTTGTTTGTTCCCTTTGAGTATACTAGGGTCGACAATGACATTATAATTTAAGAAGCTGTATATGATCTCAAGCAAGATTTTACGCTCATTCTTTTTGTTCTTTAAGATGGTCTCAAACACTTTCATAACATTCTCTGTCATTATTCCTTTAAAATCGGTTAGTAGTGGTGCTATAGTCTTTTCATTCCTTTCAGAAGACACATTCACACACTGACAGAACGACAAAATGACTTTCAGATCATTCTCTTCATAATTTTCTTTTGTTGTGATATACTCAAATTGGTCTTTCAAAATGTTTTTAATCACACTTTGTGTTCCTTCATTCACAAAGAGTGTTGATATACTTTGTTTGATCGAGTAGTCCGAAAAAACACCATACGACTCAGAGAGGGAGCACACCAGTCTTGCAAACTCATTTCTATCCAGCGTCAAATAGATCTTTTCCTTCCCCGAAATTTGACATATCAAAAGGAGTTGGCAGAATGCAGCCCCGACTAGATGAAGTATAAAAGGTGACATATGATACTTCTCCTCAAAGATGTACCCAACAATAGGTTGGACGTACATCATCATAGTTAAAGAACTCATATTAAAGTCTCTTCTGTGGTACAACAGCAACAAGATCAATTTCAAGACTTTCTCGACTTTACTCTCTTCGATTGAGTCTTGTTGAACCAACGGTAATAAGACTTTCTGGAATATCACCACCACATAATTGACGTACTCCGCTGATGTCTCCGCGTTAAATTTCTCAAACAAGAAGACAATTTTATTCAAAGCGATGTTCGCAATGGTATCGTTGCTCGACAAGAACAAATGACACAGTGCTGGCAGTGCGTTGATATTCGAGTGGACTTCTACCACATCATGAGCGACTTGAAATACGTTGAAATGTCCATTATCTTCATCTAAATCGTCTTCATCGTCTGAAGAGTGTGGAGTATATCCTCCATCATTGATTGGACCATATCGTGTCCCATCTCGTTGAAGGTCACGCGCCTCATTTCTCAAGTCTTCTGGTAACAACTGCATCATCGCATCGTCCGCATTTCTCAAAATATCTTCTCGCAGAAGTGGGTCCAAATCATAGATGAAGTCCACTGTACTTTCTTGTCTCTGTGGGTGTGCGGCTGGTTGATTCTGTGTGACGTTTTGTTGAGTGTTCTGTGTGGTAGTGTTACTTCCATTATTTTGTTGTTGCTGCTGCTGTGCTTGTTGTCGTCTAAATTCCTCCAAAATCTCCGTTCGAATTTCTTGTGGAAGATCGAAGAACGTTTCTCTATCGACGTCTGGCGGAAGTTCGATATTCTCATGCGCATTTTCGGTGTTTTCTGGTTGTTGTGGAGCATTTGCTTGTGGTGTAACATTTTCAGTTGATTGTGTTGGTTGCGCGTTTTGTTGTGTTTCTTGTGGAGTTTCCGATTGCGAGTTCTCTTCATTTAAGACATCACCAAGACCGTTGTCTGTGACGTCTTCACTTTCCTCTTCATGAGAATTTTGTCGTAGATAAACTGATCCATGTTGTTCTATATATCCTTCCAGAATTCCATTTTGTATATCTTGTGGTAACGCCATGAATGTGGTTCTATCAATTTCGGTTGGTAAATTATTTCTTAATTCGTCAATTGTTTGTGTAACGGGTTGTTGCTGTTGTTGAGAAGTGACTGGAGGTAAAGACGTATTATCCGATTGTGTTGTTGGTTGTGTTGTGCTTTGTTGTTGAGGAGCAACATTTTGTTGTTGTTGTGTTTCTTCTTGTGCACGTTGTTGAGTGTTTACTTGTTCGTCCACATTATCATTTTGTTGACTGTCTTGGAGTTGAATGTTGTTCAAAAATAGAGTCCCATCATCAACGGCATGTATTTGCTCTGTTTGTTGATTTTGTTGTGGTGGTTGTGCTTCATTATTTAGAGCTGATGTTTCTTCGACTTGTTCAGTGTGTTGTTCTTCTTGTGGTTGAACAGGAAGTGGTAATATACCATCATTATTTTGTGGTGGTATTACATGGAAATGAGGTAGATCTCCTTCAACGGGGTGGTTTGTGTTTAATTCATTTTGTTGATTCTCATGAGCGCCAAATACACCCTCTCCGTTGTTGAACAAGAATTCTGGTAAATTTCCCAAGTCCCTGCGTATCCCCTCATTGTCATCACCAAACAAATGAATGTTTTCAATATCCTCGATAGTATGTGCGTTATTAATTTGCTCATGTATGTGTGGATCATTAATATTCAGTTCTATGACCAATTGTTGGAGTTGATTTCTCAGCATTTCAAGGTTATCTCCATGAACTGTACGTTCACCTCTATCTTCGACTCCTTCTCTCCCTTCCCGAATTTGAGTGTTTTCCTCTCCAATTGGGTGTCGTCTTGGATTCGGTGTTGGTGCAGGCTGTCTTGTCATATTATCCGTATCACTTTGAGCCACAGAAATCCCACCTGTTGGCGCGTCAAATAAGTGAGCTATTGCATCGATAGCTTCTTGGTCGAGTAATCCACCAGTAACATTATCTTCTTCGTCTGGTCTTCCTTGTCGTAGAATCAAATCGAACACCCTTTGATTAATACCACCGAAAATTTCACCTTTAATTTCGCAATCCAAAGTGCGCGTCTCGTTCTTCCACACTTTATTGAGTCGGGGTTGAGTTGCTTCGTAAAATCCAATATTAGGACTTAACGCCTCGACTTGCACACTTTCGAGAATTCGACGGTTTTTAGTCGTCTCAACTAAGATATTCTCGATCTTGGTATGGAGCTCTTCCGAATCTTGGACTAATGTGTTTGTATACACACGAACGTCAAACTCTCTCACAACAAAATCGATGGTAGTGTTCTTGTTTTCTCTCAAAGAAATAACCTTTTTGATCAGTTCAATATCTTTTACTTCACCACTTAATGACCCGAAATATCCCGAATATAAAACATCGAAAAGGCCTTGGCGGATATTCAAATTTTCTTTGTCCATCTCTTCTGTAATAACGGAATCAATTGTTTGTATTTTGTCAGCAAGGTATTCAATCATTTGAAGTGTCACAACAGGAAGACTTTTAGTCGATTCATTCGTTGGGATATGGAACTCCTTGAGTTCCTTCATTTGGAGTACATCGCACAACAGCATCGGCTCAGTTTTCAATTCTTTTAGAATACTCTCAATGAACTTCTTTAGTGTAAATTGCGCAGTTTTTACCATCTCAAGTTGATAAAAGATTTTGAGGAACATGTTCACCTCATCGAGACTTTTCTCGTTGGTGTACTCAATTGTATCAATACATCTCTCGAGTTCACTTTTTGCTTCGACAAGTTTTTCTCGTACACCTTTTGTTTTTGAAGTCACAAGACTGTTCAACACCTTGACCACAAAATAATTTGTGTTCGGGTACTTTTCAAAGCCAATCATTAGCTTCTTCACATCAAGCCAATTCACATTCTTTGTCAAACACAATCTCTCTTTATATTCCCAAACACCTGTCTCACTCAACTCCTCTTTCTCTTCAAATTTCTCGTTTAAGTACAGTCTGACTTTCGTTGCACAGACGGTAACCAAAACTCGATTTCGTTCACTCTCACTCAACTCTTCAATCAACTTCTTCATCGTCAAAAAGTAGTTTCTTGCCGTCTTATCTTTATTGAGTAAATAAGGCAATTCAAGTGTCGAGACATGTGTCAGTGTTTTTGTTTCACACGCAATGAACAACGACACATTCATCCATTTCTCCATAAATTCAATTGGAAGTTTTGCTTTGAGGTTCAATGGGCTCAACACTCGTATCCACATATTTTCAAAGAGTTTTTGTTTACTTTCTTGCGTCAAGTTCGCCTCTTTTAAGTTCAAAAATACGTTCTCTATGAACATAGTAAAAATCTTTAATACATTCTCTGGAACGGCTTCTTGTTGACACAGCCATTCAACAAATTTGTCATAAAAAGCATCAAAGTGCGCCACAGTCTTGTTCAGTGCTTCTTCCTCTTTAAAAGATATGAAGTTGGAACAATTCAAAAAGAGTAACAAGATGATGCAACTCTCCTTTTCAAACTCGTTCTTCATCAAATTTGGTATCAATGTGTTCAGTAAATCATTGCAAATGGTTGTTGGAGTGCCAACCGTGTAGAGTATGTAATCAAAGAAACACAACTTCCTCCACCTCTTATCCAATATGTTCATTGAAGTGTATCTGATTAAGGCGGTTGGTATCAAAGGACTCTCTTCGATGATTGTATAATAGCGATGGCATATATATTTCATCATCACTTCAAAACTGTCTTTTTCATACACCTCAAATAAATTTTGTTCATTCGAATTGACTCCTTCCAGTTTATTGAGTAACGAGAACATTTTGAAAAACTCGACGTCTTCAACATTTTCTTTGTTTTTGATTCTTTTTAAAATGTTTTCAAAAAAGTCTCCCGCGACTTTCAATTCAGCTTTTAAAAAGTTCTTTGTTGTAATTTCGTTGTCTTCATACGTTCTGAAATATTCCAATGGGACTTTGTAAGAATCTTTTTTCATGATGATTTTCTCGGCATCTTCTTGCTCAAATCGACTCCCAAAAGTCGATATAACATCTTTAAAGTGGTTTAATGTTCTCACAAAGAGTAATATTGAATGTTCACCGACGCTTTCCTCAAAGACTTTGATATTCAATTCATCGTAGATGTGTTGCATTCCCGTTAAAGCGTTCTTAGTTTCAGAAAATAATACCGATGAACTATAACTGATTCTATATTTGTCATCGATTGCGGCAATATCATACAAATATTCGGGACAGTCTTGAGCATTACATTCGACCGCAACCATGTCTAAATTGGTGATACACTTGTTGACAAATGCTTTTATTTGTGCGGCAGTGAACCTCTCGATATTCCTATACTCGTTTTTGTTTCCGTTCCAGATATTCTTTGCTCCATACCTTATCGATAACGCAATCAAGTCAAGTAACAGCCCGTTCACCTTCTCATCACCAGAGAATGCGTCTGAGTTTCGAAGGCATTCCACAAATGAAGTGTAAAATGTGATAACTTCTGCCAAGTTCTTTTCATCATTATAAGTCTTAGTATTAGTAAGAGGGTACTTCTTGCTTTCAGACACTTTCCCGATGTCCTCAAACTGATTGACCATGTTCTCAAGTGCAGAAATCGTCTTTTCAAATATCTTCGTCCCAACAGGAACACCAACAAACCTCATATAAAATTTCCCGACGTCATTTCTCTTTCCCAGTTTGTGTATAAACTCGTAGTTCATCATATTAGCCAAGAAGAAATCAACAAATAAGAAAATGTGGTCATCGGGTGCCGTTTGTGTAGTTTTATAAATGAATGAGCACAGTGAGGTGTAGATTTTTATTGTATTCAAACTGAGACCGCAGCCGTTTTTGTTAACAAACGTCAGATAGTCGTAAAATGGTTGTGTCGCGTTTTTGGCTGATCCTCTCAGAGCAGTGTTTTGTTCCATTGCCGAGAACAAGATTCTATGAACTTCCTCGGGAACATTCTTGTCAACCAAAAATGGGGCAAGTATTCTGAACTCGGAGTTCCCCGAAATTTTCGACACAACTCTTTTTATGAAAATGATGTCATCATCAGAAAGGGTGACACCATCTGTTTTATCCATTGACGCGCTCAATGACAAGTCCTGTGATAATTTCAAGTCTTGTGAATTGAATGCGTTTTGTGATGATAGCATTTTAAAAACCTTTTTCACAGCGAAAGAGAGTGACTGTTGGAAGAATATTGATTCTTCAAAGAAGAAGAATAAGTTGCACGTTTCTTGGTGATCAAACAGCTTTTCAAAGACAAAGAAAGGGAATTGGTACGATTCCAAATACATTCCGTCGGGTATGGGGCACGCGTACGATACAACAGACAAACAGAATGCGTCGTTCCAGACACGTTGTTTTTCGTTTGTTTGACTGAAGAGGAAGTGCATTCTCGATATGGAAAGATCCTTGTAAATTTCTTTTAATTTACATTTCGAGAGTTGGAGTAAAAAGTCTGTATATTTTGAAGTTAAGGACAAATCGATAGTACCACATATGGTATTGAACTCCGTGCAACAATGATCGATGATCTTCTGTTCGTTGACTTTTGTGTATGTCTGTAATGTTTGTGGATATATGAACGATGCACATGGTGTTATATAATTGACGCTGGTGTTAAACAATTTGCAGTAGATTAAAAAGTGTGAAGTAATTACAAGACTTTCGCAGTACAAATACCTTTCGAAAAATTTGAAAAGTAATACATTCTCAAATTCTAAGTAACGGAAGTAATTCTTTTGTGTGAAGAGTGCCTTTGTGAGACTTTGTACGAGGAACACAAGTTTTTCAATGTTGACTTCTGAAAAGTCTGCGACATGAAGTGAACCAATTTTGATTGTTTTGATGTGATAAAAGTAGTTAAAAATTGAGTTGGCTACTATTGGGAATAAAGTTGTTTTGTTTTGTTTAATGAAGTCCTGTTGAGGGCTTTCCAAGTACTGTAATAAAGTGGTTGTTAACACATCTATGTCTGTACTTTTATGACTTAAAAGATATTTGTCCAACGACGAAGGTGTCCGCGTTGGCTGCCTAAAGAAGGTTAGTTGGTCCATTACGGTTGTGGAGTTTTGAGTTTGATCTCTTTTTCGTCTTTTTCTTGTTCTTTGAGTTTTGAGTCTGTGTCATTGAAATAATTTTTGCCTTTGAACAACACACCATCCCAATTCTTTTTTTTTATTTATAATTGATTTAAAATGGATATACTCTTAGTCAAATAAAGTCTCAAATAGAGAAATGATTTGTTAATATTTCATCTTATTATTAATTACAACATAAATTTTTCATTTTTGGGAAATTTGATAGTTATTTTGTTATTTCAAACTATTAAGTAATATCATACAACCGATTTTGAGGGATAATAAAGATCTCACAATCTTTTGATGATTCTTGTGTATTTCTTTATTCTTTTTTATTATTAATGTATTAAATAAAATTAATAAATTACTCTGTAACTTGTTAACTTGTTAAACAATCAAAAAAATGCGGTTTCAAACTGTTTGTGTTACAATCGATAGAACATAAAGTAAATGATATCAATTGATCAACAAAAAAGTAGAACCCATACGAAACAGCAAATTACAAATTGATGAACTCCACGCCCTCAAGTTTCAAGTCAGAGATCTTCGTGTCTTTCATCAACACATTTCCGTCGAAGTCCATCATTCCCATGTATGTCATAGTCACACCATTAACTTCATAACTCTTCAAATAGAGTAATTTGCTTTCGTCGAAGGGAAGGTTTTTGATCGATGAGAACCCTCGCTCCTTCACAAACTGTTTGTCTGCAACAACTCTGTAATTCTTAAAGTCGGATGTCATCACTATTTTCCCACACCCTCTTGTCTCATCCAACTCATCATCATATCGTTCATTACTGCATTTCCGTGGTGCAAAAGTCCATATGTCATAGTCTTCTGAATATGTGACTGCTTCAAAGATGGAGTATCCGTCTTCCGTATTAATACCTAGTCTTAAGTTAATGTCTTGATATCGCTTTCCCCAATCCTCGTAAATCACTCGACCGTTCTCATTCATTCGTTTCACAAAGAGTGGCCCGCGATGTCTGAACTCACCTCTCGGTGTTGTGTAGTTCTTCCCAATTCCGCCGATATACACTTCCTTGCCTTTCACAGTCGCCCATTCAATTTTCATCGGCTTTTCCTCTTTCATGTCACCGTCTCGAATGATAGTCTTTGGTACCAAAATTCTCCCGTCGACATCAATTGCCCCGACAAGTCCAGTCCTATCGTCGAACGTCAAAATCTCGTCATTGAAGTTAACGGCTTCGCTTAATTCAAGTCCGCGTTTACCGTCATTGATTGGGGAAGTCACTTGAAACGTTTCTTCTTGAATGTATGAATACTTTTCACCTTGTTTGTATAACAGCCCCGTCACAATATCACTGTACCACAAATCGCCTTTCTTATTCTTCCCATCCAAGTCACTGACCATGACTATTCTCAATATCGGCGAATTTGCGGTGTATTTCTGATAGTTGTGTTTGTACTTATAAACGGAGTATGTCGATCTGAATGTCATAAAGTGTTCAAGAAAGTGAATCGATAAAAAGAGCGACAAACGCTTGTGAACTGAACGAAAATACGTTAATCAGCAAGACAAAAAGAACCACTGAGAAAACCAAAACGAGTGGAATTATCCACATAAAGTGTTTTGGTTTTCGCCCTTCTTCCTCAAGGAGCATTTCTTTACTTTGAGAGTTAAACAGTTTCTTTTTTTCCTCTTTGTATTGGAAGTTTTATTATTTCTTTTGGGTTTTTCTTCTGTTTTTTCGAGGGGTTAATATATTTGGGAGGTTTTATCTCAGCAAAAATCCTTTGTATTTCGGGACTTTTGTAAAAATATAATAAGAAAAGTGATTTGTTAGATTTTGATTCGACTTGAATGGATATACAATTAGAGCAAAAAAAGTGCATTATAAGGTAAAAAAGAATAATTTTTCGGGATTGGTTTATGAGTAAGCAAATAAAACGGTTTTTACTCAAAACCATCTTATTTTTTTAGTTAATTATTATTATTTAATAGATTTTTGAATAATTATAACCATTTTTCATCGAATATAATAATATTATTATATATAAACTATTTTATTTTTGGAACCATCGATGTTTTAACGAAAGATGAAATATTATATTTCAACTATATAAATAAAAAATGGGTTGTTTATTTTTATGATTATTAAATAATAAAAATCGAAATTATAAATATTTTAAAATTAAATAATCCCGATTATTTCCGTTTAATTGGATTTAAATAATTATAAATTTCCTCACTTTGGTTTTCATCGGCATTTCAATGGTTTTAATACATTAATAATTTGGACTTTAAAAAAATGGTTTTAAATATCTATAAACACAACTAATTATTAAACACATTTGAGAAATAACACATTTTAAATCTTCATTAATTTGTGGGTATGTTTGTATAACAACAAGGTTAGACACGTGTTTTTTGTAAGCTATTATCTTAAGTAAAAAATATTATTTAAATTTAATTAAATGTTTTTTTTGTCTAACTGATATTAACAGTTCGCAAATTATTTATGTAAAAGTTATATTTAATAAGTATTAAAAAATTTACTCAATTTTATGAATATCTATCTGAACATTTAAAAGAAGAAAAGCGTTTGTTAATTTGCATTTTCTTTCGACAAAAAGGTCAATAATTAAATTAGATAATGAAATGGATTTCATTGGTTTTAATTTAGTTATAATTCAAAAATTGAGTGTTACTTTTTGGGAAGAGATGTTATAATGAGTTGGAGATGTGATGATTGCGTTGTTGGTTTTGATACCAACACACTTTTTGCTGTCTCCTTCGTCTTTGTCAGCACCGTCGAACTGATCTCTTTTGGTGTCAACTTCTTGACTTCCCTTTGTGTTCAACTTGAATCAAAAATTGTCATTGCTGTGATCAACAATGGAGTATGACCAATGCTTCATATCCTCTTCAATGGCTGGATTCCTAAAGCGACGCTCAAACATTTGCTTTGTGTTTTTTATTTCATAATAAATTTGTTGTTGCTTCATAAACCATTTTTTTCGCTGAAAATAAAAATTTTGTATGATTGTTTTGTTGCGTTGATCGTTTGCAACGATTTTAATTCTGTCATAATTAAAGAGACGACAAGTTGATGAGTTGTCTCTTTAAATTGAAAATTTTTGTTTTTTTTAATTTTTGATATTTCATATTTATACAAATATTTTGTTTCATATTTTTGTTCAGTGATTTTTTTTTTAAATATTAAACACAAAAATGTTGTTTTTATTAGAGTCATTCTCTAAAGGTTGTCCTTTCTCCAAAGTTGTCCGTCAGTTTTTAGATATAAATAACTGGAATATATCGGGAAATTTTTAGAAACGCCAGAAAATCATTGTTTCAGTTTTTTTACCGTTTTTATGATTTATTACCTAATTCCCAATTTTTTAAAGAATATTTTGTGTATTTTTTTGCAAAAGGGACAACTTTTGGAGAATGACTCTATTAAATAATGTTTATTCATTTTTGGGATAAAATATATTCAATCTCATCTTTGTAAACACTGTTTACATGTGATGATATTACTAAGTATTTTATTCCAATATCACCTACAATAGAATAAAATAAAAAATTGAAATAAATTATTTATTTTTACATTCAAATTAACATTTTCAATAACAATCATTAATTCACCCACTATTGGGCATTTATCTAATATTATTTATAGTATTTTAAAATTACAAAAAACTAAATTTTTAAACATGAACAAAAGAAGTATTATTGAACAACCGAAATCTTGATAAAAATATGCAAAAACCTCAAATAGATTCATCTTAAAAATGCGTCATCTTTTTAAAAATAGAGATCCAATGAGTGAGTGGTATCCCGAACTCCAAACATTGAATTTGTTTGCTGCGCCAATATTCACAATCGAATACCCAATCGTCAACATATGCGCAAAGTCTCCAAACGACTATGTGGCTGTCACCAACGATGGTAAATTTGTCTCAAAGACTCCAAAGGTCCAACACGAACCGCAAGGTTTGAAAGAGCCAGTCGTATCGTCTTTCTTGTTTAAAGACGACTTTTATGTCTCAACAAATACCAAACTCTTTAAAATAGGTAAAAACAATACAACTACTGAAGTGTTAACTTTTCCTGAAAATTTAATAGCAGTGGGTGCGTCTGATGAACATATAATGGTCTCTTTTAAAGACTCTGTCAAGATTTATTCAAAAGAGTATAATGAGGAAAAAACACTGAAAATACCAAATGTTATTGACTTCGCTTGTTCTGAAGACACTTTAGGGTTTCTGTGTAAACAAGGTGCAGAATTTGTCGACTCGAAGACCTTTGTAAATCGCGCAAAGAGATATTTTTCTGGAGGATATCTTAAAGTATTAGATGACTACACTGCAATTGCGATTTCTCAGGATTCGCAATATGTTGCACTTGGAAACGTTAAGGGGTGTGTCACTGTGTTGACAAAAGGCGAAGAGCAATACACCTATTATGTCCACTGTGACTCAACTATAAAAACCAGTGAAAGAGTTGTTAGACTTGGTTTCGCCCCAAATGGTAATTTAATAAGTGTTTCGGAGAAAGGAACTGCCGTTATTGTCGACCCCAAAGCGAAAGAATTAAAACAGGAATTTAAGACAATTCTAAAATATGAAACAATCGATGAAACGCAATTAGAAAAAGTGTTGTGTTCCAATTTAACGAAAGACAGAAATTGTTTGTTTGCGTATCAAAAAGATGGGAAGTCGTTTATTTACACGGTTTATTGGAACTTTGGTGGGTATTGTCCGGCTTTTTCACATGGAGGTACATGGGGAAGTGGTGTTCCATTGAAATTAGTGCGAGCTTCGAAAAAGCGTGCGAGGAAGAGTAAAAAAGCGAAGAAAGAAGATGAAGAAGTAGAAAAAGTGCCAAAAAAGCGCGTTGTTCGCAAGCGGCTTTCAAAAAAGGTTTTAAAAAGGAGTGACGACGAAATTGAGAAAGAAGATGGGACTGAAAGTGATGAAGAAAAGCCCAAGAGAAAGACACGAAAAAGAGAACCTGTTGAAATCAAAAAGGGTTCAAGTGGGGTATATGTTAAGATCACTGGAGGAAGCCCTTCAGAAGAGGAGAATCTGAAGAATGAAATCCACAAAAATGGCCTCTTTACTGTTTCAAGTATTGGAGGGAAGTATGACATAGTAGTCACATTCCATGAGAGAAGGACATCGGAAGTCATTGAGGGGATAGTACAAGGAAAACAAGTTGTTGGTGCGGAGTGGGTGAAGGCGTCACATAAGTTAAAAAAGGTTGAGAAGTGTGCCAAGTACGAAATTGATAAATTTTCGGGAGCCGGTCATGTTGATGAAACGTTGTTTGACGGGAAGGTGATATGCGTCTTTGGAGAGACTAAAGTACCCAATCAAATAATTGAGAGGTGGATCACAATGTTGGGGGGAGAAGTCACACTTCGTCCTAAAAACGCGCACTACGTGGTAGCAGGAGAGACATTCATGAAGTGTGACGCCACAAGAAGAACACTTGGGTTTTGTGTGAAAGAGGAATGGTTGTATGATTCCATTTGCAAGATGACACTTGTTGATGTCTGTGAATATTTGGTTGATGGAATTAAGAAAGAAAATCGTGAAAAAATAGCAAAGGGGGAAGTTGGCGATAAAGACGTTGATATGTCACTTGCAAAAAATAGGCGCAAAGCAATAAGATCAGAAAGTGCAAAATGAATTTTATTTTTTATTCAAATTAGATACTTTTTCATTACAATATTTACCAAAATTACATTTTATTTGTGTTAAACTCAGTAATTTACTGAGTTTAACATTTTTTTGAAAGGGTAAAAGACACATTTCTTGGTTATTGAATTAAAGTGAAATATTATCACTATTGGAAAAAGTTAGTAACAATAATAATCGTCAAGATTTCGTTTTGAAGAGTTCATTGATGCTTGATTGTGGTTTCTAACTTAATACAACAAATGAATACCGATACAATATAATGTGTTAAATTATTTAGTTAATTTGATGAAGTCGTTTCTTTATGTTTAATACTTAGAAAATTATGTTTTCAATTATTCACATAACAAAGTTATGAACACAATTAAATGTTCAAATTAATGAATAACAGATATATAATATTGTTAATATAGATATAATTCCCGTTGAATAACGATTGTTGATGACATTATTATTCTCAAATATTGATTGTAATTTTTGTGTAATTGGTTTGACATTTTGTTGAAACAAAGAAAAATCAAATATAAACAATTGTTATTTATTTAATTGTGTAACCACTTTGATATCCTCAATTATCATTCAACAACTTTTGTTGATAATAATATACAAGCGAGTAATTATATATACTTTTATTTTTGCTTAACTGTTGTTTTGTTATTTTTCGTATTTCAACACACAACAGTAAACACATGTATTTCGATAACACCACAACAATTATGGTTCTTTTAAATGTAACACTTGTTGAATATTAATTAATAACAATGTCATAAAAATAGTTGTTGGATAATGTATTACTGTTTATTGTTACTCTTTTTATAAAAAACAGCCTAAAAATATAAATGGCAACTTTTCAGAGTGTAAACTTGAAACCTCAAACTTAAACTTAAAAAGATAACACTAAAATTAAGAGAATATCACATTTTACAACATTTTTAGGTTCAGAATTGTGGCTCACACATACATACACATAAGATACATTTTTTACCATAGTCTAAAAGTTAAAAATGTTTTCAATTAAAAATTCCAGTTTTCATGTCAAGCCTTTCGAAGCTGCATTCAAATCAATTTTCAACCATTAAAGTTCGTGTTGTTGTATCAACAAAGTTTGTCGATATCATGTTAATAAACAAACATCCAGAGTTTGAAAAGGTGTTCAAAACTTTAAAAAGGAAAAATAAATAGAATGAATACACTGAGATGGAAAAAAACGTTATGAAAGTTTCAAAAAAACAAAGTAATAAAGAAGTCACTAATTAATTTTTTATGTTGACATAAAATCTGACAGTCGTTTTGTTGAAGAGTTTTATGTGTTTTTCCTTGCTAATATGTTTTCAAACGCAGCAATAACCAGAAGACTCTTTGCTCCACCTAATCGGAATTTTTGATATCTGATTTGGAAAGGGAGAGAAAGAAAGCACTTGACATGGTGTTGCTTAGTCATATCAACTATTTAGCATAGAATTGAGTTTTCAGGAAATTTGGGGCAACCCATTTCCATTTCGAAAACTCAATTTACCAAAATTTGTGAGAACTTCCATGTGTTATACCACAAAGATCATCGAGTCTATGGCAATCATGTTGACGCACTTCAATAAAGTCTCGAGCCTTTCACAATTGGTAAAATGGAGGAGATCCAAACCAAATAATTTGAAAAGACCTTTCTTAATCAAGTTCCAGTTCCACTTGTATTTTCAGAAAAATAAAACACCATTTTTAGTCTCTGTCAATCAATTTCTTTTATAAAAATAGATGTGAGTAATAATTCCCGAAAAAACAAACCCAAAACAACTCTACAAAAATCGTCATTTGAGCATTTTGGCTAATCATCGTGCTGTCAATCAATTTATTCTTTGTCAAGTTAGTATTCTGCCTCTTGTAAGTACAACGATCAATAAATAACTTAATATAAAAATTGTAATTTATTTACAGTTCCAAATATTTGTGTTTGAAATTGTAAGTTTATTTTAATAAAATAAACTGTTTTATAATTGATTTGTTTTATATTTATTTATTAGTTACTAACAACTTTGTTAATATTGTTTATTTTACAAAAAAAAATAATAACTTATTCTTTTTAAGACAAAAAAATACAAAGAACGTAAGGAACAATGTCGTTGTTTTCAAATACTGTTTGAGCGTCGCTTTAGGAATCCAGCCATTGAAGAGGATATGAAGCATTGGTCATACTCCATTGTTGATCACAGCAATGACAATTTTTGATTCAAGTTGAACACAAAGGGAAGTCAAGAAGTTGACACCAAAAGAGATCAGTTCGACGGTGCTGACAAAGACGAAGGAGACAGCAAAAAGTGTGTTGGTATCAAAACCAACAACGCAATCATCACATCTCCAACTCATTATAACATCTCTTCCCAAAAAGCAACAAAGAATGCGAACAACATTCCAGACATCAATGTGCTTAGAATCAGCAGCAATAGCATATGGACTTGACAAGAAGACAAAAAGAGAAAAGAACGTCTTGATTTTTGATTTTGAAGAAAACATGTTGAGTTGTTGCAACTTAATTTTTGCAGCAATAACATTTTTTACTTTTTTTTGTGCTATACAACGAAGAATATATATTCTTAATATATTTGTAATATATTTACAAACATCTCTTCTTTGTATCAGCCGCATTTTTTAAAGAGTGAAGGACTGCTGTGGTAAGCCTTTTTTATGTTATTTCTAAAACAATAAAGATACATTTTAAAACTTATAAATTCCGCTCGAGAGTCGGTGTTGGCTAATTTCAAATAATAATTGATGTTCTTTGCTATTTTATACGCCATTCTCAATAAGATAAAGAGAATTCTTTTGTATCTATTTGATAAGTAAATACATAATCAATAGATATGTATCAATTACTATAACGGGAAACAAATAGCAACTTTTTTCTCTTTTCGTGGGAAAACCACTTATAATACTTATTTACTTAATAAAGCTAATGAGTAACTTCGGTTCGTCACAGATGTTCGAGAGTAAGCGATCGATCAAAGTTTGTCACACACAACCCACTGACATGGTCTCATATCTTAGGAGTGTCTTTCATCGTTTTCACGGTATATCGACAACTTCGATCTCGAATCGCAGGGTGTAGTTGTTTGTTTTCATTTTATTCATTGGACCAAAAGAGCTTATAGTCAGCAATTACATCGTGTTATAGCAGACATTATTTATTTCAATTATATCGAAGAGGAAATTGTGGAGATGATAATTCATATCATGGAGAAGTATGTCCGAGGAGTTCAACACGAGCCGGAACTCGGGTCATTATTTCTCATACTCAAAATATTATCAGAAAAAACGGTGAGTATTTCTCCACCACTGTCGAAAAGGCTTCAAACCCAATCAGAACAGTTTAGAAAACAAATCAAATACGTTGAAGTCAAGTTCTTACGACCCGAAGAGGCGGAAAATTATAGCGAAGACTATATCATTGGATTTGGGTTTGGGCATATTAGGTCGTGGGTAATGGAGTCAAACTCGATGTTAAATTACTCACTTATGTTACTCAACCAAATCGTCGATGATACAAATCATCACTATAATGTATATGATATCATGTACACATTCATGAACACTCGGTATAAGCACTATGATTTTATTGATGCGTTTAATGATATCATGGTTTCAATGTCGACACTCGCGCAGCTTGGTTTGTTTTATGATTTAGAACCATTATAGAATTCAATCAACACGATTAGAAAGTAACAAATAGAGTCGTTTCAAGCAATATTAATCAAGTGTATAACAGGTGACCGCGTTCAATACTTCTCAAATATCGATTTATCATACATTCGACTCTTATCGCAAAAATGCGACTTGAAGATTCGAAACCGAATCAGCTTCTCGTACCCTATTTTCACACAAGACCAAATCCATGAGTTTCAAAACACAATCAAAAATACGTTGTCACAAAGTCACAACAACATTGACAACAAAAGTCGTCAAAAAAGTCGTTCAAGAAGCCGTTCGAGGAGTCGTTCCCGTCAATTGTCACAACACAACTCGAGTCACTATTCCCACAACCGTCGCAATTCTTCCTGCTCAAAAGAGTCATCGCTGGGCTTTTTTGATGGTTCTTCGAAACAGTTTCCTTCGAGTAAATTTGCGAAGTCGTTTGATGACGTTGAAGAGTTTGTTGAATTCAAACCCGAGGACAAAGGGTTTCCAACGTTACCGGGTGTAGTTTATCGATCCAATTTGTCTGGTGGTACTGATGATATTGAAGAGAGCAAACGAGACAAATATGACGATACAAGCAGTTTTGATGTTCCTCCAAACCTTGAAGATAAGAGGTTCCATCACTTCGTCTCATTAGTTTGCTTTTATAATATAATATTATTCTATTATAGTTTACTCCATGTTCTGGCTCACATGTAGAGAATTGACACGACACTCGATGAACTCCCATTCATACAACAAGCAAAATTGTGCAACGTTGTTGAGTACACATTTTCATCACAGACTCGAGAACTTTTACTCGAGTTCAACTCAATCGACTTAGACATGTTCCTTCATACCATCGACACTTCCTCTTACAACTGTAAAACTTTTTAATACTATGTTCGTTGCTTCAGGTTGTTCACAAGACAAATAAGAAATAATTAAATTAACACAAATAAGATACACACGTCGGCTCAGTCCGCTTCCAATTTGACGGGGAACAGATTTCCACCTTTTCTATTTACATCACTCAACAAAGAAAATCTGCCTCGTTGTATTGGTAGCATCACATCACTCCCAAGAAGTAACACTGTCTCATCCACAAAGATCTCGCTTGCATTCCCAATCAGAAAGACAACCACCTCTTCGAGCAGAAACGAGACGGCTCCGCTCTTATCCCAGCACACAGAACTAAATATCTTTTTCTCTAACATCTTGCCTGGGTATGTCGACAACAGTGTGTCCAGCATCAGAAAGACCTTTTCAAGAACAGCTCTTTGTGCGTATGGTAACGAGGTCACTACATTTTGCATCGACTCGATGGTGTGCTTTGGCGTTTCCTTTTCCGTGACAAACTTGTCGAGTGGGTACAAGAGAGGCACTGGGAGTTTCTTGAGGAAGATTGTCAGGAGTGTCCAACACATTTCTGGTGGGAAATTCAGAGTTTTATTCTGTTCGACTTGAGCAATAGAACTCGGGATATCATCGACTTCAACATCTTCAAAGATTTCTGTTGGATGGGAGGTGATTTGCGTAAGAAAATACTCTAAAAATGGTGGGAAGGAGTTGTCGTTCTGCTCAAAGAGCTTTTGTAATGATATTCCAAAGAGCTTCTGATTTTGGTGGAGAGTTGCCTGTTTATTGAAAAAGGTCGAAAACTCGTTCAACAAGCTTGATGTGTCGAAAAAGACGGTGAGTGTAGTTTTGCGGTGTTCAGTTGTTTCAGTGATTATAAGGATCTTTCCAAAGTCCTTTTTCGAAGCAGAGAGTGACGGTTGGACTTTTGTTTTTGTGATGTCGAGATCGAAGAGGACTTCCTTTATTTTGGTGAAGAGGTTTCGTTTCGTGTGGACGAAGAGTAAACGACCGTCGACAACTTTGATAAGAAACGCATCATCGATTTTAGTTTTAGTTGGTAAGGCCGACTCGTCGAATCGCGATGGAGTCTTTGAATATAACGACTCTACAGAATGGACAATTGCTTTGACAGACATGGGCTGTTGTTCCATTTGTCTTTTTTCTAGTTTCTTCTATTAATAATTTTCTATTTTTGATCACATTATCGTCTTGGTCTAATTTCATATTAGTTTTCGAATAATTTGATTTACTATTGATTTTAAGAATAGAAAATAGGCATAATCAGACAGAACTCAAAAAAAAAGTAGATAAAAAAGCCATTTATAAAGTGCTAATTTCCCATTTTGTTACGTGATAAATACTTGTAGAATACCAAAATAAAACAAACTTTTGATACACGAAATTCATCTTTGCCGTACTGTTCTATTTTTTGTACCAATCAAAACGAAGTTTTGGATAAAAACAGCCCGTCTTTTTCCTCTTTTTTTGTCATCACCCATTTGGTCTTTTTTATTCATTTCAGCCGGAAAAATGGCTGTCGGGTGGGTTTGTGTATTTAACATCAGAACTCTTAAAGGCAAAATGGGTGTATTTGTTGCGTTATTTTTATTGTATCAAATGAGTTTAATAAATAAATTAAAAATAAAGGAATAAAATTTTATTTTACAATAATAAACGCTGCGATGTCTTTTTTTTATCTACAGACCATTTTGGAACACCAAAAAAATTGTATTCGTAACACAGAATTATTAACTTTTCTGTTCTTGACGATAATTTAAGTTTTGGAGAAGTTTCTACATCAAATGCAATTTTTAGTATTTTCAAAGTGTTTCTTATACCAAGCTAACTCTTCGGGATATTTCCCCTTTTAAACTCCCCACTACCAATTCGTCAAAAAATACAACTTGTTTTGGTTTTCATAACATGGAAATTGCATAATGTCATTCTTTTGACTTAATTATTTATCAAGTAATATTTATAGTAATAATTATTAATACCAAATACTTATTAATTAAATACTTTTGATTGTCTTTTATTTTACAAAAACATCATTGAAATTTTGCCGCTTTATATGCATCATTTTGTCATATTTTAATAACAACCCCATTTCGACTTTTTTCCCAACTCTTTCCACCCCTTAAGAGGCTTTTTATTTTTTTTAATTGTATTTTATTTACTCTTTTGTGATACTTTAAAGTATCCTGTTTTTTCCCATATTTAAAACGCAAACATATGTTTATTTGTACTTGGGTTGTTTTAATTGTTTTAATACTGTACAATTCTTCAATCACTACATAATTTCTTTGTATTTCTTTTTCGAAAATAATTCATAGAAAAATAAAACAACATTTCTTTTTTACATATCTATTTTTATAACAACAGTAGTTCTATAAAGAGAAAGGACGGACATGGGGACGAAGGACGGGAATATAGGCCGAAGGACGTCCTTTGTGGTTTAGGGATGTCCTCCCGCTATAAAGGGCGTCCTTTATGTGTATATGGTGTCCTTTCTATTATTTTCGTGTCCGCGGCATTTTTAATAACTATATAATGAATTATAATATTACCATGAATTTACTATTATAAAATATAATTATTTCCAAAAATAAATAAATTCAAAGACAAATGTTAAACAACAAGTAATTTCGTTATAAATTAATGGTTTTTATTAAAAATGCAAATTTTATTAGTTTTTCAAAGAAAACTCAATGGTAAAATGAATAAAAATAATTAATTATTATTAACCATTAATTTATAACAAAATTACTTGTTAAATGGTTTTTGTCTTTGAATTAATTTATTTTTGGAAATAATTATATTTTTTGATTGTATATTTATAATAAAAATATACTTCGTTATATAGTTTAGATAATGAATAAAAAATGCCGCGGACACGAAAATAATAGAAAGGACACCATATACACATAAAGGACGCCCTTTATAGCGGGAGGACATCCCTAAACCACAAAGGACGTCCTTCGGCCTATATTCCCGTCCTTCGTCCCCATGTCCGTCCTTTCTCTTAATAATAATTAATAATAAATATAAAATAATTTTTATTTTTATTAATTAAAAAAATAAAAAAAATTATAAAGTCTGTTTAACAATATATTCTAAAAACTTTTATTATTTATTTTTTTTCAATAAAAAAAATTGGTGTTTTATTTTAATTGAATAATTTTAATAATATTATCAAAACCATTTTCTAACAACAAAACCAAAAACATAAATACCATTTATTGAGTTTATCTTTTTATTTTTTTTTTGTTTATAAATGAAGATAAAAAAATGGTATTATTAAGGTTTCAAAAATTAAGAAAAACATATTAAAAAACAATGTTCATTGAAATCATTTTAATAAAGTAATTTTTTTGGTCATGGGTGTCATTCGATATTATATATTCTTTAGGGCAGCAAACTGATTTCACACAACCAGAGCCATCTCATTGGAGTAACTTTATCACAGAATTAATAAACTTTTTGTTGTGTTAAAAATATGTTTTTCGTATATATTTGATTTGTATTGTTTATCAATTCAAGTTATTTGAAATAGTATGTTTACAATTTGTTTGAGTTTGTTTCATAACATTTATTTCCACATCATTAAAAACTTAATGAAGTTTTATATATATTTATTTAATGTTTTTTAATAAAAACGTAATATTAACGTCAACTCAACATCCAGAACTAAGTGCTTACCACATGACATAAATGTACAATTACAAGTAACAATGATCAAAATTTGTTTTTAAAGATCATTGAAAAATAAATAAAGAAACAAGGCAGTAACAATAAATATAATACCAAATTATTAAAAAGTATCATACTTTAATTAAAACATAATTTTTTTGAAGATATTTAAATATTTAAAGAAAAATGATGGTTGTTGATCATTTCAGTGATACAAATTATTTGGTTCATAAAGACTTAATCACACAATTATTTTTGCTGTTTAAACAACAGGAATAATTCCGAATTAAAAAATATTAGTATTAACGTTCTTTGAACAACTTATGAAAATATACATCAGTACATTTTGAATTTAAAAGCCGTCAAAAATAATGTTTGTTCACTGTGAAATTTAAATTATATCAATCGAAACAATTGATTTTGACTTATAAAATAACATACAACATAAATATTTTATGTGTTGATAATAAAAATTTGAAAAGTTTTATGCACAAGATGTTGATTAAAATAATGACATATTTATTATTTGTTGTTTATCATATGATTATTTAAATTATATTATTACTGATTATTATTCTAATGTACCTAGATAAGTTAATAAAAAATAAAAATAATTTATAATTACGATAATTTTAACAATAACATAATTTATTTTTTTTAAATAGCTTATAAAATGAAGATTGTTGATGAATTAAAAATTAAAAAGTTTGCAAATTATTCCTTTTTGCCCAAAAACATTTGAATCATTTTTCTTATGTATTATTTTAACATATTTTAAAATATTGTTTAAAATTTACATAAATAACATTTTGTAATATACAGTGTTACAATATTCAAACATTTTTAAACTTTAAAAAAATAAATCGTTCTTAATTATCTTCGTTATTTTTTTCTACAATTCTTTACATAATTTCATTAATTACTTTTCAATTTTTGTTTTTAATTTCTTTTTTTTAGAAAAATATATATATGTTGATGTTTCAAATCTGTTAAGTTGTCTATTTTGAGAGTAAAAAATCAAACAATATACAACAAAATCACATTCTTTTTCATAAAACTACTTTACAAAACAATCTTTGTTTTTCGTTTAATCCTTTGCTTGAGCAATCATACTCAATCACAAATTTTCATTCATTTGTGTCGATTGGTATCTTGAATGACTCAAATCACGTGTAACAAGTAAAGGGAATTACTTCAAGAATCTGTTTTAAATACATTTCTTTATTTTTTGATTTTTCTTTGTTTTTACTTCTTGATTGCTTTTTCGTTGTTTCTAATAAAAAAATATTGGAATATAATCAATAAAATATATTATTTAAAATAACACAATAAGTTTAGTGTGGTATTCATTCAAATTTTTGATTCTATTTTTAATTATAATTGAAGTTCAATTCTTTGTGGATTGTTAATAAATATAAAATTGAAGCAATAAAATCATTGTTCGTTATATAATTCAATTGTAAAAAAATAAACATAGTTACCAAATTTCAATTTTCCCTTCTTTTCTTTGTTTTTGATTCGCTAATTTCTGTTATTTGTTTCACCCAATTTTAAATAAAAACATCTTTCTGTTTTCTGGTATAAAACGATATTTTAAGTGAATATACAATTTGTTTTTAATATATTTTTCTATTAATATTAGTTAACGGTTAAATGTTAGTTACTTTGATTACTTGGAATTTGTAGAATTATTTTTTCTTTATTTGAAAAATGGTTAAAACGGTTATAAAGATTCTCTTAAAGATTCCACAGAGTCATCACGAAACACACAAATATAGAAAATTACATTAACTAAAGTACCGTCAAGTTAAAGGAATGTTAATGAGATGATCCAATAAATCAATTTTTGTAATGTTTGTCGTTTGGTTCTTTTTTGTGTTTACATGTTCACAAGATTTGAAAACATTCAAGTGTTCACCTGGATGTCAAAATAATTGTACAAGTGACTACACCTGCTCCAAATGTTTATCCAATTACGATGATGACAATTCTTGTCTGAATTGTGCATTTGTGAATCCGTATAGCAGTGATACTATTGCCTATATCCAACAAAACAACAAGTGTTACAACACCAACCAAAAGATTATTAAAGGAGATAATTGGATACCACCAGAAAAATTCATAACAAATATTACCCTTAATACTACTTTCTCATTCTCTTTAAATCAAAGCTCAGACGTTGACTACGACTTTTGTTATTACCGACAAAAGTTCAGAATTGGTAAATGGTTCAGACTTAAAATAATGGAAATAGATTCAAAATTTGTCGAGTTCGACATCACCAAATCAGGTGATAAAGCAACCGAATTGTATGTTGATGCCACGACAGCGTCAGACCCAGATGTCCACCCAACCTGTTTCATTCATACAATTTTAGATAAAGATGCTATCCAGAATAAAGTGAGTGTGCCTATTCATATCGACGACACTCAAGTCAACCACTTTTATTACATTTTCATTTCCATACAAGGTTTTGTTCATACTGATATTGATTTTACTGTTCGTAAAATTGTGGACATTGAAACATCAATCGGGTTCGAACTGACACAAGAAAAAGCAGATTATTTAGCAACACATTTGAAAGACAAAATAGTATGGGATGTCAATTTTGAGAGTAGGGGTGCAACTGCAACTCCAATTTGCTTTATACGATCAACCGCCAAAAGTGTGGATTTCACAATTGAATTTACAGGAAATTACTCGATTTTGATAGATGCAACTATTGAAAATCGAATAAATTTCCTCCAAGAATATACTTATAAAGAAGTCATAAACGAAGATGACAATGTTACTAATATTAAACAACAAGACGAAAACAAAGTTGAATGTGTTCAAAGTTGGACAGGATGGAAACACGGAATTTTTGCTGATGATATGCAAACTGGTTGTATGTTAACAATCAAAGGAAACTCTAATAAAAAGAGATACTTTTCTATTATAAGCCAAGACCAGAGAGCATCACAAACGTTGCACTTTAAAGCAATTTGTCCGAATAATTGTCACACGGAACAAGGATTTGGAACTTGTAGCCCAACACAAGGTGGTTGTATATGTAAAGATGGATATGGAGGTTCCGACTGTCACTTGAAATGTTATTACAAGGGGAAATGGAATGAAGATCCAACAGGAAAGTGTTTATTCGGAAGTGCATATTGCGACGAGTATTGTCATTGCGAAGAAAATACCACATTGGCCGATGTCCTCTGCATATCACAAGGATGCAGGACAGGAAATTTACTTCCTGGAAATTGCAGACAAGGTTCAGATTATTGTCATCAGAGTTGCCAATGTTACGTCTCACTCGGATTTCACGCAACAGATGAATACAAATGCAGACATGACAAATGTGGAAATGGTTTGCTCGACTCCTTTTTGGATTTGGAAGGTAAAACAATTAGGGAAGAGTGTGACGGTGGTATTAATTGTGACACTTATTGTAAATGTAATGTGGGGTTCATCACCAACCCCAAGGACAAACTTTCATGTTATAAAGAGTCTATTCAAACAAGTGAGATCATTGGTATTGTCGTTGCAGCTGTTGTTGTATTATGTATAATTATTATTGCACTTTCATTGGTACTTTACTTTGGTTTTGGTCGAAAGAAGATAGATATGAACGTGTTCAAAACTCAGCAACCCAACTACCATTTTTACATCACTGGATCGATTAGATGTGTTCCAACAAAGAAGTCTAAATTTATTGTTAATCCAACGGACTTAGACTATGGCAATATAAATACGTCAACAAAAATATTCGACACTCGATTCGAGAGAATAGAAATCAAAAATCTCTCAAAGAAGAAATTCATGATGATCATCTTTCACACACCGAACAACCCCAAATACGTTTTTCACTTCGAGCCACAAGTGGTTTTCCTGTCTCCGATGGGAAAAGACGTGAAAATAGTGACATCATACATGACTCTTTTTTGTACAACAGTGATTAGAGGAACAAAAATACCATACACCGTCTGGTTCAGCAGAAATCGATTTGTTTTAAAACAAATAGCTGAGCTTCTAAAGGATAAAACATTTGATTCTTGGACTCAAGAAGACCAAAAAACAATAGAAAAACTAAGAAAACAAGTTGTTTTGCAATATCACAACCATCTAACTATCACCACTGATGCAGCAAGTTCGACACACATTGACATGGATGAATTGAACATGTCAGAAAATCCAATTGCTGAAGGTGCAATGGGCAGAGTGTTTATTGGCAATTATCGTAGTGTTCCAGTGGCAATCAAACAATTTAAATGGGAAAATTTGAATCAAACCGAAATAGAAGATATGAAAAAAGAGGTTATCCAAGAATGTGAAATGATGAGCAAATTGCGGAACCCGTTCATTGCAAATTACATGGGAGCAGTGACCTATTTACAAAAGGTGTCGATGGTCATCCAATTCTTTGTGTTGGGATCTTTAGGAGAGTACTTAAGAAAGGAAAAAGAAGATTACATCATGTTTTCATATAAATTAAAGGTGAGGCTGTTGTTCGACACGGCAAGAGGAATGCAGTTTCTTCACGAAAATCGGATTATGCATTTGGACTTAAAACCAGATAACTTACTGATCAATTCACTAGACTTTAACTCGGCTTGCACAATCAAAATCACGGATTTTGGAACATCCCGATTCACTAAAAAGACTTCGAAAAATATAGACGACAAAGGACTCGGAACTCCAGTTTATGCAGCTCCAGAGACTTTTAAGGATGAATACACGTTTGCTGGTGATGTCTATTCATATGGTGTTACTTCATGGGAAGTATTTTACCAAGAAGAACCATTTAAAGACTTCAACTCTGTTTTTGAGATCAAAAGGTATGTGTTAGATGGTAAAAGACTGAAATTTGATAATAAAATTCCAAGTCTGTTAGCTGGGCTCATTGAAAAGTGTTGGAAACATGTCCCTGGAGATAGACCAACTTTTGACCAGATCACAAAGACAATTGTCAAAATTGATGAAGACGTAGCAAATCACTCAGAATTGGACAACGGGTTTGATTACGAAAAAATAGGAGAAGTGGTCAATAGAAGAATGTTGAAAATGAAAAACCAACTCAATGAAGTGGGACACGACTAATCACATTATTTGTTTCTTTTTATTATATGTTAATAGTATTAAATATTTGGAAAATACACAATAATAATTCTTAATTATTAATAAAAATTCGTTAAATAATTCCAATTGTCTCATAGTAAAAATAGTTAGACAATAACATTATCTAAATATACTTGAAATGAACATTTGAATTATTAAGAACAAAGATTTGTCTATTATTCTTCATTGTTTCCGCATTAATAAACAAATATTATATAAAAACAATTTAATTATAAATAAGTTGTAAACAACATTATTTGGGAAATGATTCAATAAAAAAGTTAAACATAGTAATTTATGACTGAATAGGTATAAACATTTTTGTTGTTAGACAATTCAAATATATTATTATTTTTAAGGTATATTTTTATTTACAAACAAATAATATTATTAATTAACAATTAATTGAAAATAATAAGATACTTCCATAAAATAACTTTTTGATAATTTCTGTTCTATTTCAATCGTTTCTCCAACAACAAACAAACTTATCTTCAATGAAATTGTCAAATTGTTTCTTTTTTGTCTTAAAATGACTATGAAACCAACTGGTATTATATTATTAAGTAATGACGATATACACTTCAATTTATTATTTATTATTTGTTTTCCAGACTTCATCCCGTTCAGTGGAAATTTCTGATTATGAAAATGTTTTGTGTGATGACTATGACACGAATTTAGTTGATGATTTTTCTGATTTATTTGAAAAACTTGATTTGGAGTACTTGCTTCATGAAGAAAATGTAGTTGAGTATGTAAAAGAAAAATACAATAATGCTTTGGATTCAGTTGGAAATAAAATTGAGTCAACAGTTACTGAAGGTGCAAACTACTTAGTAAACAACGGAGACCAAATCCAGACCAACTTAGGAAATGTAAAAGAAAAAGCCGAAGTATGGGGAAATAGAGCTCAAATGGCACAAAGGGGTCTCTTTTTAGCGGGTTCCATCCCAACACCTGCCTCGGCTGGTCTTCTTGCTGCTTCAAGCGCATCTGGGACTATTGCAAAAGTTGCACAAGGAACTCAAATTGGTGCTGA